CGGGGGGACACGGACATCGGAGTGAGGGACAGAACAGACAGGCGAAGGAAGAGTGCAGCCCAGCCAGCGACTGCGTGTACTTACTTCCTGTGTGTATGTGTGTGTGCAAATGCATGCCTGCAGTCCGGGTCTTCCTGTTGAGGACCTGCTGATGGGCAAGGAGCGCCCTCCAGTGGCGGACAAGGTGCCTGCGCCATCATCTCAGCCGGTCCTGACGGCCTCGCCCCCACTCCCTACCGTCACGGTGGTCAGATCTCACACGCGAGAGAGCGTCGCACCCGTCTCGTCACAAGGGGCAGACAGTACCACCGCAGGACAGCCGGGACAGCCTGGCATCGACGCCACTGCCGTCCCCAAATCCACCCCTGCGGCCGTCATCCACCAGCAGTCTCTGCCAGCACGACCGGACCACACGGCAGCCGACATACACAGCGTCGCCGTCAGGCCCCCTGCCCAGCCGCCGCCCGCTGCCTCCCCACCGCAGCACCACCCTCTTCCTCACCCCCACCCCCCGCCCGGGCGCAGCCAGCAACAAGCCAGCCAACCACAACCACACCCACACCCACACCACCAACCAGCCGATGTCGGCGGCCACGTGTCCTTCGACGCCAAGTCCCTCAGTCGGCCGCCATCGACGGCCAGCACACCTAACACGCCCTCCACACGCGAGGGGGACCTGGGAGGCCCCGCAGTTGCGCCGCACGGGAGTGGCGCCGGGGTGCGGGATGGAGGCCGCCACGGCACGACCAGCGGTGCACCGCCAATGGAGTCACCTTCCAGGGACATGCCTGGAGGTGGACCCGTGGGTGGAGCGGCCCTCGAGTCGCTCACCCCAAACATCGTGGTGGAGTCAGCCAGTCATGGCAGCAGCGGGACATCCCTGCACCAGTCCACTTCCACTCGACGAATAAGTGTCGCAGTGGAGGAGGGCGACGTGGGAGAAGAGAACATTTTGAAAGTACTGACCAACACAGACGCACTCAGACAGATAGACAGACAGGGGGCACCGCAGCTCTTTATGTATATCTCTGTCTTGTTTGTTCAGGACGTGACCATCCACTTCCGTTTGACCAGTGGCAAATTCAGGCGAGTACAGTTTGATTACAATCTCGGTGAGTGAGACATGCATGCTATGCCACCACTCATACATACTCTACGCACGTCGATGTGCAAGTATGGAGAGCCCTCAGACATGTGCGGTGGGTGGTGTTGCTGGTTGGTTGCAGACTCCGACACCCCGGTCCAGGTGGCCGCGGAGCTCTTCAGGTGTGTCACAACGCAGGCAGCTTCGGATGTCTTCGATTATGTGAGTTTCTTGGTCCAACCTGCGTTGTGTGTGTGATATCGATGCATGGGTGCATGCCTTCAGCCAATTGCACGGGTGCGGGCTTCCTCCCCTGCTGGCTCCAGGGCACTTCGTGGTGGCTATTCAAGAGGAAGTCAGCTTCCGGAAGAGGGAGATGCGAGGCGGCAACAACCCACCACCACGCATCCGTACCGACCGCAGGGAACAACAACCCACCACCGACGCAGCCTCAGTCACAAGCCCTCTCCCCCCACTCACACCCGGGCTAGGTCTCCGCGCCCAGCACGACCACCAGCAGCAGCAGCAGGAACCCACCTACGCGCACCTTGAGACCAGCAGGAACTTTGTCTTCACTTCCGAGAGACCACGATCCGACACAGTTGTGCACCAGCCGCCATCGCGGCCATCACAGCCATCGCCGCCCTCACAGCCATCGCCGCCGACGGAGGTGGAGAGGGCAGTGGAGCCTGATAGCAGTGCACAGCCCCAGAAAGAGCAAAGCGGCGACTGGACGGTGTCGCAGCCGCAGGTGGACACCGACACGCTTGTCGCCGGCAGTGAGGAGGAGACACAGCTGGGCGTCGTGTTCCCAACGGTCGATAGGCCGCACACCGATCAGCACATGGCCGTGCCTCACAGCGCATCGATGGGGGACTCTGCTGCTGCGGCTGAGCCCCTCGCTGGTGCTGGCGCCGTCGCTGAGCCCCAGAGGAAGCCCGTGGTGGTGCAGTCGGCCACGATCGGGGATGGCAGCAGGATGACCATGGGAGGGGGTAATGACTCATCGGTGGGGGGCGGGACCACAGGAGGAAGCCTGGCAGGCTCAAACTCGCTGCCCTCGATGGCACCAACGGAGACTCCTGGCAAGGCGGCAGGTGTGATGGATGCGTCGACACCGGCCAAGCCAAGACCAGATGTGCCCTTGCCACCGCCCGGCAGCGGCACCCCTGTGCCTTCGTCTGTCAAGAAGGAGCAGAAGGAGCAGCAGCGACTGGAGGCTCGGAAGGAAGCCGACAAGAAGCGAGAGGAGCAGCGACGGATTCAGCGGGAAGAGGCCAAGAAGGCAGAGGAGGAAATGGCACTAAGGCTGACCAACCTCGACGAAAAGAAGGAGAAAGAGAGCGATGCACAGGCACAGCCCCGTCAACAACAAGCGACTGTGAGCGCTAAGACAGCAGCTCCTGCCCCTGCTACGAAGACAGCACCAACCCCTGCGAGCCCCGCCGTGTGAGCGGGGGAAGACAAGCTGGGTAGGGGTTCTTTTTTCTTGTCTTCTTGTTGACTGCTTGTTTATGGGAAGGTAATGGATCTGATGTTTTGTGTGTGAGTGTGTGCGTGCGTTGTGTGTGTGCGTGTGTGTGTGTGTGTGTGCATGACATCGTGGATTGATTGAACAAGGCCTTGACGAAGTCCGATCATCGAGTAGCGAATCTGTGCCTGTCTGTGTCGTTGCTCCATTCCGTGCCATTCATACAATGCAGCGTTGTCTCAGCACCAAGTCACGTAACTCTCGCATCTCCTGGTTTTCGTCTGGTCCCTCCCCACCCCTCCTCATTCGACAATCGGGACCGACTGCTCCATTGCCCACTGCAAATCGCGTTTGTATGCACTCTTGATGATCTCATTGAAGGCGTCAGCTCCGCGCATCAGAGTTGACTGCCTCTCAGCTCGGTAGACATCCTTCGTCCCGCTCGGCGCCAGAACGAAATTCCATCTCTTCTTCTGCGGCGCAGCCGTGCCCAGAGAGGGGTCACCCTGGTAGTCCTTAGAGAACGCCTGGTCACCGTAGAAGACAAATGCCGACTCTCGTGCCTTCACACCGAAGGCGTCCTGGATGCGCTCCCTCTGCACCGCATCAGACCGATATATGGACCACCATCGGTTGCGGGCCGGAAACGGCAGAAAGTGGGTTCGAAACTCCCAGTACACTAAACATGCAGATGACCGCTGATAGAAGTGCCATACCTTCCTTCCATCGCGTACCCGCATTGTATTGTAGGCCGTGATTCACATCTCCCGCTTTGAGAGACTCCTCCTTTATGGCATCGACATCAGCAGCACTCACAAAATCTGCCATCTTCGCTTGGAGAAGTGGAGTGCCGGCACCACAGCCCTCTGGGGTATCCTGTGAAAGCTTTCTAGTGGAGCACGGGTATCCGTAAAACATCAATGGCGAATAGTTAGGGATTTCGTGAAACCGGAAGGGATTGCATTCGTTTTCTTTTCTCCCTCCTTTGCTCGGCTGCCGAACGACATGCGAATGGCATCAGAAGCGAGAGCATGCTGTCTAGTCTTGCTTAACCAAAACAGCTCTCGCATACACTGCCGCTTCAAAAGTATAACGGAAGCAGACGTTCTGTACATGTCAGTCACTTCAACAACAGCTGTACAATACTGAACCACGAATCACTAGTCTGAACCAGGCTGCCCTGGTACTGTGGACGTAAAATATGTTCCGATCGCATGACGAAACCTGTAGTTGTACTCCTGAAACAGCACGCGCAAACATTCTTGTCTCATCGCACGGACGAATGTCTGTTCATTTTCCTGACTCGTACGTACCGTTGGACTGATCACCGTGGGGGACAGACCTGACCGCGTTCAAAGAAGGCACCAAATGAACCCACGTCTGATTCAAACTCGTTACGTGGAGACGCACCCGTTGCTAAAAGAGACATGCTCTTGCCGATAGATTCCAGCTGCTTGTCCAGCGTGTAAGGCCTGATCAGATGCCGCAGACGCGAGCCAGTCATCTCATAATTTGATTGATGATCTTCGCTGAAGTGAATCGCAGACCTGAAAAAGTCTATCATTCCCATCGTGATTTCCTTTGTCCGCTCGTTCACTAAAAGCAACAGCGAGTAGTCCACAACATCAAGCTTTGACAGCAACAAGGTATCGTTGAAGATCTGAGGGAAAAGAAGATGGATTCAAATCGCGCAGCTGGTTGGAAATCACTTACCGCGCTCTCAATGGTCCTCATGTCACGGAGGGGCAGCGCAAGAGGGAACCCTTTCGTATACTCACGAAAGTTCTGATCCCAAAGGACCATCGACATGACTGGTGCCCCAGCCTCCCTTTCCTGTTGCTGCTGTCCAGACGGGAGGCTTTCAGAGCTCCCTCCGCTTGCTGTTTGCACGTTGTCAGCTGAAGCGGACACCGAGACATCCTTGGAGACGCCTCGCACGACCACGTTGTACTCCGGCGGTCTTTGCTGCTCCGGATCACTCAGGGATCTCGCGGATGAGGTATCCTGAGTCTCGGATGTGGTGATCTCGGTGGTGGTTGCGGTGGTCTCCTGCTGGAGTTCCTCGCCAGACGGCTCTTCATCTGCAGGCCTCTCCGCGCTGTCAGGCCGTGTTGGAGACGGAAGTTTTGTTCCCGACCCAGTAACATTGACATAACGATTTCTACCGACTCCCTGCAGGTTGAAATTCGGCATGAAGCCGGAGATCAAATGCTCAGGCGCGAATCTTACCTTCAGGTCGAATGCTAGCACATTCTGCTCATCCATGTTGAACCGCAGATTCTGGAGCACCACATACTGGCGTCTCCACCTTTGGTTCTTTGCTTGGTTCTTGTAGGTCACCTACGAGAAGGCAAAGACAGAAAGAATGGAGCATAGAAGTGTCACCGATAAGTAACGCACTGAAAAGAGCCCGTAGACTGAGGTAAGGGTGCTTGGAAGCTGGTGGAAGAAGATACGCGCGAAGTAGTGGAAGAAGGCGACCCCGAAGGACAAGAACATGCGGAGCTCGTATCTGTTAACTTGCTTGAATATGTATCTCCTGAGGGCATGAGGATTCAATCCTCAGAATGATAACAACTCTCTGTCCGCTTGAACTGCTTACTGATCATGAGAAATGGAGAACGAAGCCCCACTTTTTCCTCCCGATGTCTGGAAGCTCGTGCACCGACAAATTGACCGAATGAAACTCAAGTCGTCTCCACAGAGCCAATGTCGTATGGCATGAAATTGCTGAGAAGACAACAAGCGTCAAGTCATCATTGTTCGTTTGTACCACAGATCGTCTTTGGTCGTCTACCGGTGCAAAATAAACTTCAAATCAACAGGACAAGGAACAAGAAGAAATGCACGGTGAAAAAGAACCTCGTGCTCTCATGCTCACCCGTGACAGAGAAATCTGCACCGCTGAAGGAAATGAGGAACAGGAAGAAAAGGATCCAAGGTAACGTGCTGTTTCATACATCGCATAACGTGATAGTCCTACCCGTCATCAAAATCGACTTTGATGTGGGACTTGGTTGGCGACATCAGTATCTGTTCCATAACACGCTTCTCGCTATCTCCCCACTCTCGACCAGAACTCGCCTTAGGAGCCGAAGGAGGCTCGCCTCGAGCAGATTCCGACCCCGCCTTCTCGGTCGACGGAACGCCGGGAACCGTTGGTGCCTCGGTCGAGTGTTGCGATGGAGAGGGGACGTTCTGTTGCTGCCGTTGTACAGAGTCCTGTTGGGTTGTTGGATGGTGTCGAAACTGCTGAAGCAGTTCCTCCGACAAGGAGTGCACGTCCGAAGAGCCACCCTGGACCTCCGTCGCAGCTTCCGAGTCACTGTGCACCTCGAGTCCTTTTCTCGCCTTGGGCTGTGGTTTGGGGGCGAGGGCGTCGTTGGTGAATCTCCGGTGACTGTACGTCTCTCTCAGGTTCTTGGAAGCCTCGTCGGCCGACGACGTCTCCAGCATTGCCTCCTGTGGGCCGCTGAGGAAAACGGGCGAGTGCTCCGGAATACTCTCACAGACAGCTTGAAGCCGTGCCTTCTCAGCCCTCTCCTTTGTCAAGTCTGGGTTAGCTGGAAGTCCATCCGACCGGATCTTCTGGTCACTTGCTTCGACAGCCTCTCCTTCTTGGCTCGCTTCTTTCGCCGGCCGCGGTTCTCCGACAGGAAGAGGTGTCTCCGAAGGCTCACTCAGAGCATGGACGACTCCCCTCTGGTAACAACTGTCTTGCGATGACGGTGTACTGCTAAGGGACACAGATTTCGAAGCAAAGAGGGGCAGCGAGAACAAGCATGTGTTGGAAATGGTTGCATGTGCGACGCTGTCGTCGGTCCCGGTGACTGGAGACAGGCGACTGAGATCGAGCTTTCCGGGAGCATCAGTCGCCTCCAAAGCCGCATCGCCATTGTCGTTGGCCCCTAGAGAATCCGGTCGAGGCTGATGAAGTCGTCCTTCACTAGGTTTTGCCTCGTCTGAAGCCCTGGAGTTGCGTCGTGACGAAGACGGAGGGGCAGACGCTAAAGGGCATTGAGGCGTTCCACTCATTTTCCTCCACAAGTGTCGCATTTGACCCCACAAAGGCGCGCACAGCAGGGCATAAGCGATAATAGAGCCAACATCCGCATCAGACACCGGGATGACGATTGCATGGACGCAGCGCGGCAAGGCCAAGTGCAGCTCCGCAAGCGGGCTCGTGGTACTGAGTCGCCTCTTGAAGCGGTCATGAGCACGCGACGAGAGAATCTCAAGGGCAGCGGCGCTATCAAAAGTAGTCAACGAGAGGCCATCAATGCTGACGGTGTCGTGTTGCAGAGGTTGCAGAGGCGTGGTGGTTCCGGGTGTCTCTGGGATCCCGTCTGCACTTCGACCATGACCTTCGGAAGACGGCCCGTGTTGCGGCTTTGGAAGACCAGCAGGCACGGCTGACACACATAGAAAAACAGGAAAAGACCTCTAGCTCCAGGCAACTCACCCCTTGCAATGAACAGCTGCTCACGTGGTGTATGTTTTTGAGAAGCAGCAGACCCGGGTACCGGGATCTTTGCGCTCAATGCAGACGACTGCACGGGTAATTTGAAGAGGTTTGCCGTAAGGGTTGAAAGGATACCGCAATCAACGGTTAGGGATCTCATCCGCCTCCTTCCAACACCTAAAGCGAAGGGAAAGTACGCAACGTACCCGGAGCGTGGTGGTCCTCATCGCTGCATTGTTTACCATCCTTTGAGAAGACAGCCGACGTTCGGCGACTGATTTCCGCCGTCGTCCGTTCGGCCTCATGAGAGACTGTGTACACAAGAAGGGTTAGCAACATGGCATGTTTTTCCCGACGCACCAGTGCTTTAATTACCTGCAGGGAGATCTAACGCGCTCTTGGACTTCCGAGCGAGGGGATGTTTGGGTAGGGATTCGGCTGCGGAGTTCCTGTTGCCGAGTGAAAACAGGATGAATGCGCGCATGACCTTCTGGTTCAGAAGGCGATTCCACTTCCCGGATCCGCGGAAGGTGCCTTCCAGAGATAGCTGGTCACGAATGAAAGATGACAGACGCTCGCTGGGGGGCCGCTCTGGCGGTGCTGGTGCTGCTGTTGCTGCTGTTGCTGCTGCTGGTGCTGTTGCTGTTGCAACAGCGGAGGACGAATTAGGCAAGCTGATCCTCCTACCCGCAACCAGTAACTGCACAAGAGCGAGACAAAACTCGACATGCACATGCCGTGACTGAGTTCAAGTTTAATTTCGCTCACACTTATGGCAGCCACTTCTCGAAGGAGCAACAGATCCGAGAACTTCATTGCTGGGATTCGAGACGCTGCAGACTGGCTATTGGTGACCGAGACGGCAGAAGAAGGCGGTGGCAACACGGCGTAGAACTGCTCCTTCATAGTAAATGTGCATCGAACAAACTCCCTTTTCAGGATGTTCAGGGACAGAATGTCGAGATGCTCCCGCAGAGCATCGAACCTGAGATACCGACGCATGATCGAGAGAATTCAGACAAACGCTTATCATCGATGTACTTCATGGGGAAGGCTCGGAAATTCAGGGCAACGCGTCTGCGGATGTCCTCGATGCCCTGCAAAACGCGTTGGACCTTTTCTCCACAGAGAGGTTTTGTATTCTATTTATGGGTGCGACCTTTATGGTTTTCTGCCACATGATCCGCTCGCTACTCGTGCACCAGACAAGGAAATCAATGACCTAAAAGAAGACAAGAGAAGAATTTTCTTCCGAAGGACCGAAAGCCAGCAGAGCACTTGCCTGTTCCTCAATGGATTGGAACAGCTCCATCATGTCTCGAAACAAATCCGTAGTCAACGCCTCGAGATTCTCCAAATCTTTTGCGACGAGTTGAGTGGGCTGCATCTGCAAAACTTGAGGCGCTTTTATCGTCTCCAAACTCGGTTCCGTTTCTGGAGGGTGCCTGTCGACGGGTCTGGGCTCGTTTACTGGTCGAGGCTTCGACGCTCGAAGGTCACGCGAACTCAGCACTGGCACACTGTTGATGAGTGGTAGATGCTGAGTAAGCTTAATCTTGTAACATGGCATTGCCTCCCACTCGAAAGCGACCACCTGAGCCAAGGCATGAGATGTCTTTGTTGGTCTACGCGAGTTCATTTTCTACCAGGCTCGAAGTCGCAAAACACTTCACATGATTCCGGAACACAAGATGGTTGCATTCTCTTAGCCTACAAGAACAAATGAATTTCACGGTTGACGCACTGAAAAGCATGAAGCTTCACCTGCAGGTGTAGCTCTTGTTGAGGAAGAAAATGTTGAGAAACTTCGAAAACGGTAGCCGTCCACTTGCTTCACCAGAAGAGCACGAACAGAAAGGACATAGGATCAGAATTTTAAGTTTTGATTCGTGCCGAAGACCTACCCTTCGTGAGCGGATTTCTCGGTGTGACCTCCTTTTGACATAGTTTGCACCAATGCCAAGTCAGAATTTGCGAAGGTTGCCGCCTGGAAGAAGTCTCGGCTAGATGGTCACCGCCGCCCTCTGTCACTTGAAGAGTGAAAGAGTACGCTGACGGGTTCGATGAAGAGATTAACGTGTCCTCAACATCGGTTCGGCTGTCGTCGGATTGATCCGGCAACGACGCTGATGGCGTTAGTCCGCGAGAGTCATCTTGAGGCTGTTTCAAATGACACTACGATACTTGTGGCCGCATCATGATTCTGCATTCGTACTTACACGCTCGCGGATAGTGACGAGAAGCCGATGATGGAGGTGTTGGTAGCAGAGGACGTGCCTTGTTAGAGGCAGCCTGCAGCGAGACTGGTTGCCGGGACACTTCCTGAAAGAGATTCGGACAAGAGCATGCGAGGTGCTTCAGAGCGTTTGCATCTGCAGTAGTTACCGAATGTCTGCGTTGAAACACCGATTCTCCAGGAAGCTGGAAAGGTGCACATGGACATTTATGCACAAATCGGGTGCTCTCAAGCATTTCTTTACTCCTGAAGGGTCATGTCTTCGGGAGCCAGGAAACGCATGGTGTCCAACTGCAAAACGATAGTGAACAGAATGTCAGTGTCTGATGAGTTTCTTACCCCAGGAATGTCAGTGTCTGATGAATTTCTTACCCCAGGTTCGACGCATTGATTCTGTTTGCCAACCTAGTGAGACAAATCAAAGAAGCAATACCAAAAAAAGCATTTCAATTCGAAATCTGGAAGTGATAATCCTCCTACCCAAAAGAACAGGAAGTCAACACGTTGACTCGCTTCCCAATGGAAAGCATGGTCGAAGACCTTCACCCAATCCAGGCCCGTTCCATCAGCTCGCATGAAATCCTGAAACAAATAAACTTCGAAGGTTAACCACGGCAAGATGTATGGCAAGGAGCATACCGCGACAGGCCGCCGACCACACAGGCGCGCAAGCATGTCTTTCTCAGAGAGCTCCAGACAGGGCGAAGACTGCGCCCAACGAAGCCACCTCGCTGGGCTCCCACGCTTAGAAAATGCTCCCTCTGCTCTCTTGTCATCAGTCTCTCTCTCAGGGGCGACACTGCTGGGAGCCTCATCGGTCTCTCTGTCCGGGGCGGCAGTACTGGAGTCTTGCAGTAAAACATCGGCATCAGATGGGGGAAGCTTTTGCTTTTTGGTGATGTTCTTCTGCTTCCGCCTCTTTGCTTTTTCCAAGATGGTCTTGTACGCGCTTGTACGCACAGAGGGCCGGTCGCTGCAGAATGCTGCTCTCGCCAAGGAATCAGCGGGAAGTTTCTTCACCGGGGGAGCAGCGGGACCTGACTGTTTCTTGATCACTCCCAAGCGTTTTCGAAAGAGAAGCATGCCCTCGCTGGGAGTTGGAAGGTCCATCGGCTGCTGCAGTTTGTCCAGCCACGCGAAGGTTGATGATGCCTTCCCGCGATCCTTGAGTGAGGAAAGGCAAGATGATGATGATCTTGAAACCGTGCAGAAGCTGTCGAAACAGAAGCTGCAAAGGAACAACAATGGACAGAGCGTCAACTTGCTTCTGCGCGCTGTCTCTCTTTATTCTTACTCGGCCTCTAGTTTCAGACAGTAAGCAAGACGAATGGCCCAGCGAAGAACTTTCTTTGCTCTCGACAGCACGCCCTCCTGAGACATAGGGTCAGGATCGATCTGGTCAGAAGACCTTTCCCCACGTGAATCATCCCCACGCAAGCAGATCGTGCACCCCCGATCCGGAAGGCAACCTGCGTGAACGGAGAGTCGTTTTGATTAGGTCTCTGGTTGCATGTTTGTTTCACCTTCCAGAACGACGAGAGGAACTTGGTTTGGGTCCTCCTCGAGACGCAGAACTGAAAACCGACGACAAAAGCCTAGTATCTGCTGCTGCTTTGGCTACAAATCCACCGAAAAAGCCCAATACTACAATCCGCTCGCAATTATCCACATTTTCGTCGTGGCTCATACCTTGTCTGACAAGTCGATTGAAGGAAGAATCGTCGCCCCTGTGCACTGACTTATCCGTTTCAACGTCTTCGCAGGCACGTTGACGATCAAGGTGACTCCACTCTCCCTAAGAGCCAGTGAAGACAATTCAAATCACAGTGTCGAGGCGCTTATTTCTTCTTCTTCTTAGTTCTTGGCCACCGCAGGCGTTCTTGGGCTATCCTGGCAACGCTCTTCTCGCACTGAAGAACGAATGGGAAAGCGGACAGAAACCATTCGCTGTTTTATTCACGGTCCATTGCTTCACTGCCGCTGACAATCAGGAGGTTAGGGCGTAACTCCACGATCTGAACGGAACCAAGACCAGACCCCTCGCGTTGACCTGTGTTGCTGTCATGGTTTGCCAATTCGAACCTTGTTCACAAGAATGTCGACATAATGCAGCTCCTGCTCGATCAATGAATCTGTTGAAGACATCGTCACTTAAGATGTCGCAAGCAGTGATATCACATGCCGCTCACCCAGGGACGTGAATTTGTTTTGTCCGCGCTGAAATTCCAACTCAGACGAAAGAAGGAGGATCCTCACGTTTTCAATACTGCAGCAAACCATACTCAAGGTGTGTCCTGTGGCCACCGGTCCCGCCTTCCTTTGTTTCGACCGTGGCTCCGTCTTCCTTGCCTGTCCATCATTTTGCGGTGACACAAGTTTTTCGGAAACACCACGCCGTCGACGTAGAACGAGTTCGATATGTCCGCCCCTCGAATCCTCTTTATCTGCACAGTCCACCAAGGTGGGCCGATCGTGATGCTTGCTGATGCCTATCAGCTAATGATAATACCTTCACATTTCGTAAGACATCAAGGTCTGAATGGTCGGTGCATTGAATCCTCTCCACACACCTCAAAGCCATTCCGCGGATAACATGAGCATATGTGTCACTCAGTCCCAACAACCGACAGAAAGTCAGCACACTTCCATCCAAATACCCCCACGCCTCGCTCTGATGAAAGACATATGCACCGTCACCTAAATTGCCGGTATCTACTGCTACACTATAGTATACTACCGTCAGAGCTTTCTTTGCGCTCGTCTCGGAATCTGTCACCTGGGGGGTCGCCTCCTCGACCTAAACAGACCAGCAGACCAGTGCACCTCATGAGTGAAGCGGCAGAACGCGTTGTCAGCCGGTATGGTGTGGACCTGGGGCTCAGATAGCGTGTCACTGGACTGCTCAAGGCCATCAAAAGCCTCGCTCTCTCTCGCGACGCGATGCGGCTCGACATCTGCGTGTCTCGCCCAGAATGTCGCTTGCGGCTGAATGTCATCTGCTGAATCGTCGTCTGCTCGAGCCGATGCTGCTCGGACTTCTCCGCTCGCAGACGACGATTCGTCTTCGCTCTTCAGAGGCCAAGCAGGGACCGTCAGTCGCGCTCGTGATCGCATATGTTCATCCTTCTCCGCAATGCGGCGACAGAAGTCGCACACCCGGACGCTTCCGTGAACTCCCAGCTGCTTTCCCGGAAGGAAGTTGGAGCAGCAGCTGTTGCAGAAAATCTGCAGAAAGCACACCGACGACCTCTTTCATGACAGCTCTTGCTCGTCTCAGACTACCTGGCCGCACAGCCGACAATGATGTCGCCTTCGGAAAGTGTGGAAGGGAAGCGAGCATTGATAGCAAGCTTTGCCTACACGACAAACACAAATGAGATATGGATAGCTGTCAGAACTTCTGCTTACACTTTTTGTCGGGCATCCAAAACTTCTTTGCATGGGCTTGCCCTGCAGCAAGCACAGTACACACGAAATAATCATACACTTACATTATACCCAGTGCGCAACCTACCTGATTCTGTCGGCGCCAGGCTTCTGCTTGAGCGTGCGACGACTGGCGGGATAAACAGTCGCGCTCCCTCATCGTCAACATCACCACCATGCTCAGATGACATTTGGGGGGACAAGATCTGCGAAAGCTCGCAATGTCTGCGAGCTAAGCGAGGCGAAAGAGTTTCTTTCCCTAGAAGAAGGATCTCCTGTTTCACAGAAAGGTAAGATGGATAAGAGATACATTACCAGCTGCTGTTGCTCTCTGTATCTGTGCGCGGTTCTTGTTGTTCAGGTGATTTTCTCGGCCTCTCTCTGCTCATTGACTCAAGGTCAGTGTTTGATCGGCCTAGCGGTCTGAGAGCTTTAGCTTTGCACTATCAGAGCCGCTCACTGATGGGGCGCCAGAAGGCGCCCATCTATCTGCACAGTGGCTGGTGGGCGCAGTTGCAACCGGACGGCCTGTACATTCAAGCGCATGAGCAGCAGGGTATAGCTGTGCAGGACGGGCTGCTAGACGTTCGTGAGATCTGCCTGTGTGTACTGTGGATAGGGAAGAGCGTTGATCGCGTTGTGCTGCGAGGTGAGTGAGAGAGAGAGTGACGTGACGGTGGTCTTAGGCGGTCGTGTGCGCGAATCTGTGTGTGTCCTCGCACTACTCTACCTACACCATCAACAGTTCACGACCCCAGGTATTACCGGTGCGATGACCAGCTTTCCCATTCATCCATTCATCCAATCATCCAATCATCCATGCATCTGTCTGTCTGATTATCAGGGGGTGCCAACGCTGCAAATATGGCACGATGCGGGTCCCTCTATACCGTGAAGAGGGAGGCATCTTCCACCTCAGTGAAGAAGTCCCAGCTTCTCACGAGTGCTTCATGTTCAAAAAGGGTGAGGTGCTTGTTGTGTCTTGGTTAGCCAGTCCTCGCCTATATGTCTGCGTGACTGTGTGTATGCTTGTTTTCAGTGGAGCCGTCCACGTCCTGGCAGGTGACGGCGATGTGCAATATGCTATGTGTGTAAGTGATAAAGGTGAGATGCGTTGTGTCCATTCAGATATGTCCCTACTGTGTCCATGCGAGGGCGATCTCATACAGCAACTTCTCGGAGCATGTGGCCAAGATGCATCCCGGGTTAGCAGAAAGGCACGGCAGTGAAAACAAGCAAGGCAGGATCTTTCTCCTCTCGTCGCCAACAGGCAGGTAGCTGGGCGACGACAGCGGGAGAGACAGGTGCCTCTCAATCACTCGTCAACCGGTACGTACGTACTGCCGAAAGTCTGACGTGACGCCCTCGCTGACTTGTTAGTCAGCTTTGTCCTTGGTCGTCGTTTAGACTCATCGGCCGGCCAGCCCATGAGCCTGCCGGGCATGGGATGGGAAGTCGACCACAACGGTGTGGCCGAACCGGAGCTTTTTGGTGCATACTCACTGCAAGTGAGGTGGTGCACAGCACAGATGGCCTGACATTCGACGATACCCCTGCCTGGTGCTGCTCAGGAGTGGGGCTTCGCCAGCGAAGTGCAAATGCCAATGTTGGCATTTGGGGACTCGCTCAGTGCTCCGTCACAGCTGTCCAAGGGGCCAGCTGATGGAGACGACGCTGTCCGGCCCAAGAGAGAAGCATCTGATGAAGCCGAGCTCGAGGCCGACCCGTCGGTTGAGGAGCTCTGGTATGTGTGTATGTGACACGCACACCCCTGCCATTTACATGCAGTGTAGTGTGCCCTTTCTTGCTTGCAGCTCGCTCTTCAAAGGCTTTATGAGTCCAATCGAGCAGCAGGCGTCTTCGTCGAAGCAGCACCGGACAGAAGGTCGTCCCCATCCAAACTGGGAGAGTGACACGACCCGTTCGCGCACCGACAGTGACCACGAGTGCATTCGTGTGAGGGTGACTTCAGAGCTCCGACACGGCAGCTGTTCAGTCGTGTTGCTTCGTACCTACGATGATTCACCGGTCCGTTCATCCGTTGTCTTCTCTATTCCGCTGGCAGTGCACTGCACTGACGGGGTGATTCGTCGGCTGGGGCCCTGGTTATTGTATCAGATCGAGCTGCATATCCGACCGGACGGCTCGCAATCAATCGATGAATTGGCATTCACCGTGGCCATGCAGGAGGGCAACGGCGTTTTTGCCGTCAATATCCAGCGAGTCGATCTAAGTGAGTGGTGGACGGACAGACAGAGGGAGGGAGGGAGGGAGGAAGGAGGATGGTCAGTCGATGATCTCTTTCTTTTGTGTGTTGCGTTCCGCGTGTGTAGGTGGTGCGGCGTGCGAGAAAGATCCCACCATTGAAAGCATGGTCAAGTGCCATCCAAAGGAACAACTCGACTATGTCATCTCCTTCAGGTGGGACTGCACGGAGAAAGAGCGAATGGTGTCCGATACCGTGTGTGTGTGTTTTGACTTGCAGGGATTTGGCTTTGTATCACCGTGATGCACTCGTTTCCACCAACAATGTGGGTGCCGGTGGAGTACACTCTGCAATCAATCGGAAGGGGAGGGAACGACAGAGAACAGCACTTTCTGTCTTTCAGGTGAGGAAGCGACCCGATAAGCATGAATGGTGCAGCTATCGGCGAAGTGTCCTCGGGGACTGTATCGAGGTTGGTGAGCTTGATGTGAAGGAGTGCCGCGTCGCACTGGCCTGTGGGGACACAACCTGGCGTTTCAACAAGATGAACGCTGAGGTATGTTTTGGCACTGAGGAGGGAGGGAGGGGGGGAGGGAGGGAGGGAGGAGGCAGCGAAGCGTTTTGACATCGAAACAGGGATGTTTGGTCAGTACATTCAAAGCGACTTAGCAATTGCCTCTCTCTGTTTGTTGTATCTGCCTACCATGATCTGCACTTCTGCAGTACCTAGTTGGCAACCTGTATGGCGCTGGAGCCCAGCTGTACTTGAAGCCCCCGCGGTCCCATCACGGCGGCGTCGTCACATGCCTGTCATTCGATAGGAATTGTTCCTTTCAGCCTGGCGGCTCCTTCCAGCCTGGCGTTTTCCGGGTACAGTCGGTAGACTGGGAACTCGGGGACTGACTGACTGACTTGTTGTGTCTGGTGTATCTGGTGTGTATATGCAGGTTGACGGGTGTGTGTCGTGGGCGAGAAGGAGCCAGCTGACGGTCCAGTCTGCTTCGATGAAGCTTGTTTTCAGCAAAAACATTTCTGTGTCGTCGCTCGAGGCGGGCACGGGCGTGCTAATGCGCAATCTGCTGGGCGATTGATAGAGACATCATCGGGGCTTTTCGTCCACGTTATGTTCATCGGCCTGTTTGTCTTTTGTCATTTCCTGACTGCGTTTCACATGAATGACGCCCACGGGGACGACGAGGCGTGCATTAATTGCCCGGTTTGGTACGGTGTGTACATAGCGGTGTGGTGATCATCGTGGGACGGTGCATGATGACATTCGTCTTATTTGCCCTCAAGTCTCTCCAGCAAATCACCTGTCAACTTGAGCAATGTCGTGGTGCACACAGCAATGGGCTGAAGGCAGGTTGACAGGAGGCGCCAGAGGTCATTGGAGTTTGTAAGGCCAGGGTGGAGCGTTTGGCGTCGAGTGTGCCGACGCAGCAAACCAGGAAAGTGTTGCAAAGCAGCAAAGCCATCATATTCCTGTATTACTATTTCCTCCTTGGGAATAAAAGGACGGTGGTGGTGCACGCTTGACCGCTTGAGGCGATTATTATATGACGTGCCATGGAGAGAGGAACCGCGTGAGAATCCATGGTGACTTGCTTCGGTGTTTGCGTATTTGTGGTGGTGTGGTGGGCATGTGCGCTCCATGAATGCCCTGTACGAGCCTCTTCATTCATCCCTGCAGCTGCAGCACCGCCCATCAGGAGCAGCTCACATCGGCACATCCGATCAGCCATCACGCGACGCGAAGCGCTGAAGCCCAAGCCGTCCAGTCGAGGCTCAATGACCGCACAGGAGTTGACAGGCCCTCTCTGGGTGAAGCAGAGGTTTGCGGAGTTTGCGAAGCTCTGTGCGAGATCTGGTGGGCAAGGTGAGATCTGGTGGGCAGGCAGCACCAGTTGGAGTGAACAGAAGTCCCCTCCGAAGCACCCAGACGACAAGGTGCGGTATTTGTGGAAGCTGGCTCACACCATGTCGTACCCTCCCCCCTCTCTTTCTCTCTCGCTGTGTGTCTGTGTTTGTGTGTGTGTATTTCCTGACTGGATCAGGCGCCACAGCTTCATGTCGACGCTTCTGTGTCAAGACCTCGAGTCACGAGGTCGGAGGTGGTCAGGGCCAACCGAGAAAAGCCGCTGCCGAAGGTCGTGGTGCCGCCGGAGCTGCGTCAGTACATCCATGATGCCGCAGTTGACCCATACTTGATCGATGACACGTGAGTGGGTCAGTGGGCAGGTGCACTGGTATGTCATGTGTGTGGTGCGGTTGGCGTCCGTGTGATTGATAGGTATGGTAAATTGAGGTACCGGCAGTGGACAGTCACTCACGAGGGCTATTTCTTCTGGCCCTTGGTAGGCATTGATTGCAGTCAGGCAGACTGATGACAGACAGACAGACAGACAGATCCACACACAGACGCGTGCCTGGCCATATCATACATACATCATACGTGTGTGTGTGTCTGTTCGTCACTGACTCACTTACTTACTGACCGTCATTCATTCATGTCATGCAGATACATGAGTTGGTGCGTCAGACCGAGTGGCGTGTCGTCGTGTGGTGTGCTGACGGACCTGATGACAAACGCGACGTCGATATCGAATACGGAACGGCTGACGAGTACAACCTGTTTCTCATTGAGAAGGATGGCCTCAACGTCTCCCTCGACATCGACAGCGATCGGTAAGCGACCGCAGCGCATTCGCCTTCACATATATGTATCGATTTATGCCACATTCATTCCATGCGTCTGCCAGGAACTTCAAGTTCGACGGGACGTTGTTTGCCGTTCTGAAGGGTATCGTTGGATGTCGCAAGGGTTGGGCCGACCTCCGATGGCTCGTGCGTCTCCACGGCATCAAGCAGTGTGCCAGTGTTGTCGGCAAGAGGTGGCGCTTTTACTACTACGACCAAGAGACGGACGAGTTCATGAAGTCTATGAATGATGTCCTGCTGACCCCACGGACTGGGCCCAGAGGGATTGGCGCCCAGAGGGTTATCGACTATATTCTAGACCGCCTCGAGCACCCACACAACGTGAAACAAGAGCCTGACGGACCTGGCATGGCGAGTAAGTATGGCGTGACTCACTGACCCTCAAGATAGACAACAGGCAGGCCGTCTGGTAGGTGGGTGGGTGATTGTTTTGTGCATGTATGTACATAAATGGGGGGTGGCTAGGTCGGCCAAAAGGAAGGAAGAAAGGAGCAGGAAGCCGGTCGGCAGGGTGTTGCTGCCGGTCGTGTTGAGATGAAGGGACGAGTTTACCGAATTTACAGTACGGCCAGGGCAGCCCTCCTTCCGCGGCGAGAGGATGCGAAGGATACGTATATGGATGGATGGATGACTTCTCGTCGTAACGCACACACGAACAATCAAACAACTCACAGATCCACGGTGCACAAGGCACATGCACAGCTGACACGTACACTTGGGTAGTGGCACTGCCTCATGTGCCACCCATCCCATCCCTCCACCATCCATCCATAGCCTCCTTCATGTAGCAACTTGGGAGGGCAAGACAGAATTGTAGTGCTCACCTGAAAGCGAAAAACAGACCAACAGACAAAACAGAGACAACCGTGGCGGCGTGTGCACATCCATGTCCGTCCCTCCGTCCGGTTGTGTGTGTGCGTGTGTCTAATCTGTCTGCATGGAGTATGTCAGTACCCACCCACCCACCCAATGCGAATAGATGTCTGTGGTATGAGACCCTGAGGGGCTGTGTGCGGCCCCCGTCGATGAGGTCCTCCCCGTAGGTGATACTAGGCTTGTCGATGCCACAGTACACCCTGATAGGCAGCCGCATGGCCTCGCTCAGCGCTCGCAGCTCCAGGTCACCGCCCCAAGCAGCCGTCTCCGCCACCTCATCGCAGTAACGCTCGAAAGATGCTGCCATACAATGCAAACCACACCACACAGCCATTGTGATAAATGGACCGACGTATGCCGTGCGCTACGCTTATTTGTGGAGTACAGTACGTCTGCCGTTCCTTGCGACATACATGCATACATACATACCATCGTCGGTCAGATTGTCGTCCATAAAGGGCAGGAATTCGTCCCTGTGCTTCCGGATGTAGTCTGCGGCCATCCGCCGGAGTTGCACGTGTGTGTAGGCCTGGTCTGCCCCCCCGCCCACCCCGATCCCCTCTCCGCCCGACACACTCCCCTGGTACAGCCGCAGCTGGTGCTCCAGGGCTCTGATATATGAACCAACCAAGAACAAGCACACACACACACATAAGGCAGGAAGGAAGACGATGAGAGGAGGGCTGGTCGAATACCTACCTACTTACCTGTAGAGGCAGTTTCCATCTGAGGGTATGTTGTGTATGGCAAGTGCCTCCATCTGCAGCTGCTTGACAATGGCATCCATCTCCAACGCACCTAAGTCGTCGCAACCTGCATAAAATCCATCCATCCATCCGTTGTGGACGGCAGACAGAGTGCTTAGTGTATTGACGGCAGGCAAGGCATGGCATGGCATGGTGGGGGTGAGCGAGGTAGGTAGGCAGGGGCGGCCACTCAGAGAGAAGATTAGCAAAGTGGTCTTCTCGTCAAGTAAGTGCGAGGCACACACCTTCAGGCTACACCAAACTGACTCTCATCCTCGGAGCCCTCCCCTCGCCCTCGCTCACGGCAGTCAGGTATCTACCTGACTCCATGTCTGCCTGTCTGCCTGCCTGCCTGCCTGCCTGTCCGCCCGGTCTACCTCTCTGTCACTCTCGTCTCAGATATCCCGTTCTGAAGCTGGCTTGTCGCGTGAACCGTCCATCCACCCACCTGCGACGGATGCGAGTATTTCGTTCCTCTTATCCTGTTCCCGCTGCTGCTTCCTCTGCCTCTTCTTCTGTGCCTTGGAAATCTCCCCAGACCCATACACAAACTTCCCTTTCTCGCCATCAGTCCCTTCCGCTTCTGCAGCCGCCGACGGCTCATCCGACCCCATATCCCCCGCAACGGGGGTCGCTGCTGATGCCCCACATGTGGGGCTGTTCTTGTCGGTGTGGTTGGGCGGGTCCGGCACCCCATTGGACGGGTGGTGGGGGGGCTGTGAGGCGTTGGAGTTGAGCTCCTCAGCATGGCGCCTTAGCATCTGCGCTTCCAGCTCCCTATACGTGGCATCCACCTCTCGTTTCTCCGCCTTGCTCTTGAGCTTCGAAGTCTCACGCTTCTGCCTGTCACGCAACTCCTGCTCACATACGTACCACACATGGTGCACCCACAGGCAGAACTTGGTCGCCGTGCTGTCGATCTGATGTCAGTCGTCAATGGCGGACCTTGAGCTCTCTCTTCTGCCTCTGGGTGGTCCTGCCCACATTCCTTGATGCTCCGTCATCGTCAGATGACGACATGACATCAGCCTCGTGCCACTCGCCGCGGGACCAAAAGAATAAAGCCTACAGAGAAGTATGCGCCGTGTGTGCCTGCGTTGCGTGAAAGAGCGGAGGGAGGGTCTAAACCTCAGTCGATCGTAGGTCGATCCGGGGAAGGAGCCGCGTAGCTAGAAGCACGAGAGAAGCAGCGGGTGTGGGAGTGTCTGGCGGACATCGGCAAAGCACGGACGCATCTCGGACGCATCTCGGACGTGAATTTTCCATTCGGTGAGTTGCGCACACTGACGGATGTGTGCTTGTGCAGCATCTGGCCATCATCAGTTGTCGTCTGCTTGTGTGCCTTGCAGCTCTGGATGGCCATGGCTGGAGGCCTGGACAGGACACTAGCGTCCTCTTGATCAGTTGCAGGTAGTGACACACCGGCCAAGTGACCATTCGAGATGGCTGTGTGCACGGCAGGTGGCTGTCGGCTCTGTGAGTAATTCTGGTCCACCGCTAAGGTTGGTCGTCGGGTCGGCTGTTGTCGTCATCCATCCAGTCATTCATCTGGTTGACCATCAAGCGAGATGCGTCGGAGTTCGCGTCAGACTCGTGCTCGTTTTGCGTTGGAGGACATGGATTTGGACGATGAGGTGTTTGATGAGAGCGAGCTGCCCCAGCCGGCGGCACCCTCCAAGCGGCGCAAGGGCGGTGGAAATGACGACGACAGCGCTGACATCCCCATGTATGACGAGGAGGATGACCCTGACGTCGACCCGACCCCTGCTGCCTGTGGCAATACGGCCAACACCAAACCCAAGAGAGACAGGGATAACAGCGGAACACGCAAAGACCAACGCAAACACAAACGCAAAAAGGGTAAGTCAGTAGGGAAACAACCAACCAACCAACCAAGGACCGAAGGAAGGAAGGACGGTGTATAGACAGACAGACAGACAGACAGTCCTGCACAGCACTCACCGCTGGGCAGGTTCATTGCATTGCAATGAGGAGGAAAGGAAGCCCGCTGCTCCAATATGTATGGGTTGGCTCATATATACATGTGTGGTTTGCGATTGGTGCCTGGCCTGGCCTGCATGGCATGGCATGCAGAGGACAAGCGCCCAGCGAGCAAGAAGGCTGCCGACGAACGGCTCCAATCCATTGACACGTAAGGGCTGGGCCGCAGGCCCAAGAAAGAGAGGGAAGGACACGGGGAGGGAGGTTGTCCGGCTGGCCAGCGGCCGACAGACAGGACCAACTAGCGGGCTGGTCGTGTCGATTACTGGACGGTGTCTTTGTCTCTCCCTGTCTGCGCGTGTGTGTGTGTGTTCAGTGACCAGGACCATGAATGTTACGTCTGCGGCAAGGAGGATGGAGAGCTCATTCCATGCAGTACATGCATCCGGGTGCGTGCGTGCGGTCGATCGGCAGGGTGGTTGGTTGGGGTCGCCAGCCACCCACACACCCAGCCAGCCAGCCGGGCCCGAAACCGTGCATGCCATGCATCCATTTCCTTCCTTCCTCGTGTCTGCCTGTCTGTCTGTCTGTCTGTCTCGGCAGGCTTTCCGTGTTGAGTGTTTGGATCCATCGATGAGGCCAGCCGGCCCCGCCAAGGACTGGATATGCCCCGTCTGGTATGCATACACGACACGGTGGACCCGTCCCATCACATCCCATCCACCCCACGCCGTCCCTCCCTGCATGCATAAATGTATAATTACTCACGGGCGCGGCGCATACATAGAAAGTACTTAAAATGACTGACATAGGGACATCTGTGTGTGTGGGTGGGGGGATGTTGGCTGGTGTGTGGGTGTGTGGGTGTGTGTGGTATCCATGGCATGCAGCACTGGCAGCCCGGTGTACCGTTGCCTTCGGTATGTGGGTGGCAAGGCGGTGTCGGCGTCGATGAAGGCCCAGTACACCATTAACGAGCCCGGCAACACCAGCGACGTGCACATGACGGATGAAGCACCTAAAGACAAAGGTGTGCGTCCATCCGTTCATCCACACGGTGCCGTTGGTGGGGTGGGCAGGTGTTGGATTAATTGTTGTGTCCCCCCTGCTGTCGTGTCTGTGTGTGTGTGTGTGCGGTGTATGTATGTAGTTGAGAGTGGTGCGTCCAACGTGAGCTGGCATGGGTGCTACCGGTGCGGGGAGCAGCTCTACGGACACAACCAAGACACAGTCGTACTCTGCGACTTCTGCAACAGGTAGGGTCAGACACGGACGCACGTACGTACGCAGGATTGAACGTTTCCATCCACAGTCTGCCTGACCCTTGAGGGCCTGCCTCATGTGTTTTCTGTCTGTCTCTGTTGTGTTGTTTGTCTCTGTCTGCCTTATGCATGTATGTATGTATGGTACTGATCAATGCATTCTCTTCCAAGGGAGTGGCACTACAAGTGTCTGCGCATCAAGCAGGAGCCCATGTACAACGATACATGGTTCTGCCCCATTTGCCTCGAGCAACCCGTAAGCTAAGGCCACACACACGACCTATCTGACCCACTGACGGACGGACGGACGGACGCATGCGTGTGTGTGTGTGTGTGTGTGGATGTCCTGTCTGTCGTCGTGTGTGTTGGTTGATTGCTTGTTTGTTTGTTGGTCGATGTGTGTGTATGTGCAGATATGTTGTGTGTGTCACTCGGAGGTGTCGTCCAAGGCGGTAGTGCAGTCCCATGTGTCCCCTAAGAAGCTGCTGCAGTGCTGCTGCTGTCTGCTCAAGTACCATCCCCCCTGTGTGGCCGACTCCAACACGGTCCCCGCCCACCTGCTCTACCACACAGCCAACATCGAGATACGGGGCGCCAGGAAACCCTTCGGGGGTCTCGGCCGCAATGGTGGCCACGCTGTCGAGGACGACACCCACCCGCCCACTGACGCACACGGACGGGTCGCTACACAACTACTGCTCGACCAGACGGTAGGTAGCCACCGTGGGGTGGGGTCTGGCGGGCTGGCTGGGGGGAGCGATGCGATTGAACACGACAGACACCAACGACCCCATACATCCGACGGACACCACCCCACTTACTCACTCACTCACTTGCCTTGCCTTTGTGTGTTGTGTGTGCGGTCCTTATTGCCGTGTGTTGGTTGGGTCTTGTCTTCCACCAGGAGGGTTGGTTATGCGAGGCGTGTCAGGGTCACTTTAGCGTGCAGCGGGTGCTGGCGCAGCGGGAGGTGCGGATCAAGGACCAGGGGCGGGATGAGCTGCAGCTCTTGTGCAAGTTCAAGGAGTTGTCGTACCGACACGTCGTCTGGCTGCCGGCTGTGCGGGTGCAGTCGGTGTCGCCGACAGCCTGGAAGAAGTGGCACGCCCACCACGCCATCCACCACAACGTGGCCGAGGTCGACATTCCCCTCGACGAACAGGATGAGGTCGTCATCGACGAACAGGAGGAAGAAGGTACGGACGGACGTGGGAGCGTTAGTTACGTACGCATTCACACACACATACACACATACATACATACATTTATACACACACTCTCATGTGAGGGGTCCGTAATTGACGGACGATTGATAGGAGGGAATGACGCGACGCAACAACGTGGCGCGCTTGACGCGACGCAATTGGCGTGTCCACGTTGTTGCGTCGCGTCATTCCCCCGTCGACGCGATGCATTCATTGACGGTGGATGTCTGTCTGTCTGTCTGTATGGCTGTGTGTGTCCATATATGTATGTATATGTGCAGATGAGGAGGGTGAGTTGGAGGTGGGCACCAACGGGGGCGGCCAGGGCCAGAAGAACGGCCCAGCGGCGGCCGCAGCTGCTGAGACCACCTCAACCGGGTCGCCCACCAATCCAGACGACAAGAAATTCCCAAGACCACCAGGTAGCCAACCATACACACACACACACACAGTCAGCCTACGTGCCTCATCCCTCATCCATACACAATTAATTGCTTGTGTGTTGCGTCTCTGTCTGTCTGTCTGTCTATGTCTGCCTGTATGTGGGTGTGGTGTTCGTTGCTGTAGGTGTGAAGGCCGACTGGCTGCGTGTGGCCCGTGTGTTGGATCGTCGGCGGTGTGTGCGAGGGACGGGTCGGCTGGAGCTCCTCATCAAGTGGTGTTCACTGGCATACGATGAGGCCACTTGGGAGCATGCCGTCGTCGCACATGGGTCTGCTGCTCTCGCACTATACAACGAACAGGAGGAACTCGAGGTCAGACAGTCAGTCCAATGAAGGCCTTAATGAATGCTGATCGAATCGATGGATGGACCCACACTCTCTTCATTTCGTGTGTGTTGTGTGTGCTGGTTGGTGTCGTGTGTGCCGTCCGTGTCTGCAGCGGATCTTGTCGGAGCGCAGCAAGGCCCGTGCGATGCGTCGGTGCCGTCCCGACCTTGAGGTGTTCCACCTGTCGGCCAGCCAGACGGGCGGCGGCTCTCGTGCGCCACCCGAGGGGGTGCGGATCAAGAAGGGCACCCACGCCATCATCCAGACGAGTGCGCCCACGGAGGACAAGACACCCATGACGGGCGACCGGTCTGGTCGCGGTGGGGGGCCCAATGGTGGCCACAATGGCTTGAAGGATGCCTTCATTCAGGCCGGAGAGACTTCCGATGTACCGCACACCGATGAAGGTCAGTCACACACAGACAGACAGACAGACACTTAGTTAGAAGGGTCGGGGTCTCCGCGATCGGTTGCATAATCGATGTCTGTCATGTACGGCCCATGGATGCGTTTACTTACATATGTCTGTGTGGATGTATGTGTGCAGGCCACGGTGAGCTGGACGACGCCCGGCGCCGGGAGAAACTTGTCCGTAGCTTCGTCAAGGGCGCCTTTACCAAGTAAGTTCTGTCTCCCGTTGATTGATTGCACCAAACGACTTTGCCTGCCTATTATGTGTCTGGCTCTCTGTGCGTCCATTTCCATCCAATCGTGCGTGCATTTGGCGTATCGTGTGTATGTGTGCAGGTATTACGACAAGCCTCGCATCCTCGCGGGTTCCTTCCTCTACGACTACCAGTTGGACGGACTCAACTGGCTCAGGTTCGTACGGACGCACGGCTGCACCCACGGACGGACTCGCGAGCGGCCACGCCATGCCATGCCTCGTTCGCTATGCACATTCGGACGGGCCTTTGGTCTGTGTGTGGGTATTTGTGTGATCAATCAGGTACTCGTATCACTCGAGGACGTCTGTCATTCTGGCAGACGAGATGGGCCTGGGCAAAACTGTTCAAGTAAGTTTACCGGGCGGACGGACGACACACCCACCCACTGTCTCTCACATCTCGCGTCGCCTTTCCCTCCCTCCCTCCCTCCTTCCCTGTCTGTCTGTCTGCCCGTGTGTGTGTGTTAGGTGATATCATTCCTGACGACGATATGGAGCGACTACGGTGTGCAGGGTCCGTTCCTGGTGGTGGCGCCCCTGTCGACCATCGAGGAGGTGTGGATTCGGGAGTTCAACAGATGGGCACCCTTCCTCAATGTCATACCCTACGGTAAGCAATGCATTGCATCCCAAAAGGAAGGAGGCAACGAGGGAGGGAGGGACCGCAGCACGGCAGCCAGGCCAGGCACGACTCACTCGAGTGATCTGCCTGCCTTGTCTGTCTGTCTGTGTCGCTCCTTGGTCGTTGCTTGACCCTGACCCTGCAGTCGGGAGCAAGGCGGCTCGTGAGATCTGTCGCAACTACGAGCTGTACTGCCGCAACAGTACGCCGAGCGGCAGCGGCGTGACCGAGTGGCTGCAGACGCTGTTCCGCGAGGACATCAAGAAAGACTTTGACAGCGATGCGGTGCGCCACCGTGTACCCAAGGAGAGCGGCAGACGCGACACACTCATCAAATTCGATGTCCTCCTCACCTCATATGAGCTGCTCCGCAAGGACGAAGCCGTGCTCAGGGCAATACCATGGAAGGTCAGTCAGTGCCTGAGGCAGTCAATATTTATTGACACACACCTGCACCAAGGGAAGCCAGGCTGCACACGGACGGCAGACAAGCCCCAATCTGATATATGACGCATTCGTTTCTGTCTGTCTGTCTTGTCATGATGTCTTTCTTCTGGCTCGTCCATCCAGATCATTGCTGTTGACGAAGGTGCGCCGGCAGAGAAGAGCACACGCACTGCACACGTGTGTGTGCATCATGCATGCCATGCACGTGTGAACTCCATTCACCCTTCATTCCATCAGGTCACCGTCTGAAGGGTTGGCGCAGCGAGCTGAAGAGATCGCTGGACGAGTTTTCGTCGGAGATGCGTGTGCTGATGACGGGTACGCCCCTGCAGAACACCATAGGTGAGCTCTTCAGCCTTTTGCACTTCCTCGACCCCGCCAAGTTCCCCGAGAGCGCCCAGAACAGCTACAGCCAGGTCGGCTCCAGCGACTACGGCGATGCCATCGAGCGACTCAAGAGCGAGCTGCAGCCACACATACTCCGACGCACCAAAAGGGACGTCATGAAGGGCGCCATTCCCAAGAAGAAGGAACAAATCATACGCGTCGAAAGCACCGCATACCAGAAACAAATATACAAGGTAGGTAGGGACAAACACACCCAACCGACGGATGGACGGACGGACGCACCCCAACTCCCCCTGCAGAGAGACAGACAGACAGACCACCCACGATAGACGAGACTTGGCATCTATCTATCTGATTTGGCTTGTGTGTGTATGTGTGTGGCTGCATTGCAATGCATGCAGCACATACTGCAGAAGTCCTACGGTACGGACAGGACATACACGGAGGGAGAGGTTGGAGGGGGGGAGCAGGCCACAGAATGCCTATGGTACCTGCGTGTGTGTGTGTGCAGATGCATTGCTGAAGGACAAGTTTGTGTCGTCGCTGCGCAATGTGGTCATGCAGCTGCGCAAGTGCTGCAACCACACCGGCCTCCTCATGGAACACGAACCCATGCGGTAGGTACAGTACCTACCGACACGATACGATACACGCTTGGCTGGCTTCACACTCACACGTGCATTGCATTCGTCTCATGTCATGACGCCCGTGTTGGTTGCTGCTCATCTCATCATGTGTCTGGATGGATGGATGGATGGCATGTGTGTGTGTGTGTGTAGGAGTCAGGAGCAGTTGAAGGATTTCCTGGACAAGTCAGGCAAGATGCAGCTGCTCGACCGCATGCTCTTCATGCTCAGAAGCAGAGGACACCGAGTGCTCATCTTCAGCCAAATGGTGACCAAACTACCTACACACCGTGTGCACACACACACACACACACAACCGATACAGACAGACACTGCGGCCGATGCATGCGATGGGTGAAGCTGCGTGTCTGTGTATGCTATGCGTGTGTGATATATATGCATGGCTGCCTATATATATCAGACTCGTATGTTGGATTTGCTTGAGGAGTACTGCTACATCCGCAAGTGGGGCTGGGAGCGGCTCGACGGCAGCACACCCGTACAAGAAAGACAAAGAGCCATCGACAGGTGGGCAAGGCAAGGCAAGCAACGGGGGGAAGGGGGGGTGCTTACTTAGCTAAGGGTGGCTCTTGTCTTGTCTGTCGTTTGACATCAGGTACAACAGCGACCAGTCGGGTAAGTTCATCTTTCTGCTGTCGACTCGTGCCGGCGGGCTGGGCATCAACCTGACCTCGGCCGACACGGTCATCATATTCGACAGCGACTGGAACCCACACAACGACATGCAGGCACAGGTTCGTACGTACACACACACATAGCTATGTGATATATGTGGCCAGGGCCCCCACCTCCCTCCCTCCCTGTTTGGTTTGTCTGTCTCCCTGTCTGTCAGGCCCGTGCGCATCGTTTGGGTCAGAAGAAGAAGGTGGCCATCTTCCGATTCATCACACGTGCATCGGTCGAAGAGCGAATGGTCGAAATGGCCAGGAACAAACTCGTACTCGACCAGGTCGGAAACCCAACCGGACACACGTGGCCTGGCCAGGCCCGGCAGCCACCAGGTTCACGCCGAGATTTGTTTTCTTTCTTTGCTGTGAATGAAGGTCGTTGCTGGTCGCATTCAGCCCAAGGAGATCAGCAGCATCCTGCAGTAAGCCACCCACCAGCACGGCACGGCACGGCACGGCACGGCACCTGCCTGCATCGATTGATTCTCGGGTCACTCACTCGATAAGGTCAATCAACCCACATGTGTGTGTATGTGCGCATGTCAGGTGTGGTGCGAAGGAGTTGTTCGAGGCAGGGAGTGAGGACAAGGAGATCCGGTACGATGACGCCCAGCTGGAGAGCATACTGGACCGCGGCGAGCAGCAGCTGGCCGAGGACGAGGGCACGGCGGCCAAGGGCGGACCCACATCCCTCGCCGGCGCTGCCGACGACCAGGGGGAGGGTGTGCTCGACGCATTCAAGGTCGCCAGATACGGAGAAGTCGAGGTCAGTGAAGTGACCGCCGCACACCACACCCCCACCATCCATCGCTCACTCCGGCAGAAAATGACAGATATAAAGAGTGAGTGGATCAATTGCTCTCTGTGTGTGCGTGTGGTGTGTGTGTGTGCGTGTGTGTCATGCATGGCCTGGATGTCATGTCAGGTAGAGGAGGAGGTCGGTGAGGATGCGCCGCTGCCGAGTCCGTCTGAGGGTGAGGACGACAACAAGACCTTCTGGAGGACGCTGTTGGAGGAGGGCCACAAGAAGCTGCAGGCGGAGGAGGCAGCCATGGAGATGACACTACACGAGACCAGGGGCAGGGGCCAGCGGGTGGCCAAGCGGGTCAACTATGCCGATGAAGATGAGGCAGGGGCTCACGGCAAGCAGGGCGGCGACAAAGGGCAGGGCAAGAAGGGCGGCCGCAAGGGGCTGACCAGCAAGCAGGCCATGCACATGGGCTTCGAGATGCAGCCCGATGACGACCGCTTGGCCCTGGAGCAGGCCCTCAAGCAGTCGCTCAACGCAGACCACAAGAGTCTCGCCTCTGGCCCCCTGCCGGCCTTCGTGGCTCAATCCAAGCTGACGAGCTCCTTCCTGAAGCACAAGGGCGACGATGCCGAGTCTGGTCTGAGCAGCGTGCCCCTGCCCCTGGCCCCCGAGCAGGACATCCGCCCCAACCCCGACGCACCCAACTCACACCCCAAACAGCACCTCACGCCACAATACCACGCCATCGCACATGTGCAGGTCAGTCAGCTGGGGCGGGAGGGAGGGAGGGAGGAGGGAGGGGAACCAGTCAGTTGATGCAAATACATGTATGTATCTTAGAGACGGACGCCACTTGTGCGTGCATTGATTGCGTTGCATTGTGTGCATGTGTTGTGTCGTGTGGTGTCTGCCTGCGTGCAGGCGACACGCGACACGCCCCAGATAGTGTATCGCGTGTGTACGACCTACGGCGACATGGAGGGCGTCAAAGCACCATGGGAAGTCAAGGTGAGTGAGGCGGGCAAAGAGGGAGGGAGGGAGGCAAAGACGGAGGAGACCTGTACGCAGATTACATTACACCCACTGAATACTGGACGCTTGTTGTGGTTTGTTTCCCCCCCTTGCCTCCTTTCTTCAGTGGGATTGGGCCTGGCTGACGCGACTGGTGATACACCAATGGTACGTCCATACCCATGGAGCTCGATGCATGCATGCAGCACGCTTGTGGTGTGGTGTGGTGTGTCCTTGGATGTCATGTCTGTCTATCAGGAAGAAGAGTTCGAACATGGGTGCCCAGTCCATCGAACTGGTGGTCGAACACCAACAGGTGAGACAACACAAGATAAACAAGAAGGACACACACACACACACAGCGCCACAGTCCAGTGCGTGTGTATGCGATGTGGGATGGATGTGGTTTGTGACGGGACGGCCGCAGTGTTATTTCTTGCTGAAGAGTTACGGTCACCAGGCAAGTGACACGGGGAGTCGCGCTGCGCAGCCCAGTTTGAGTGTGATGCTGCTGCCGCTCAAGAAGGAGGACATGCAGCAGCTCACCATGAGATGACAGCCAGGCAGGCGGGATGGATGTGGATGCAATTAACTAAGGTGATGCAACGAACAAGTCGGGACACGCTAGTGCGGCGTCTGTCTCTGTCTGTCCATCTTTATACATGGCTGGATGCTATGCACGCGCATATGCATATCTATGATCGAGTAGACAGTGTGTACACGTGACATGACAATAATTTGTGAGATCCGTCGACGTCTCCCTGTGTAAATGCATGCGAGAAATGGGGGCGTCTCACAGGGCGGTCGTGGAAGCGGCGATGGAGTTGGAGAGGGTAGCAGGGTGGAATGCGCGACCCCGGTGGCCGGTGGCAGCCGATCCACGCAATGGCACAGCCTATGCCGTCGGCGTGTAAGTACTGACTGGACAGGGGATGTCATACATACACTCCCACCACGCATATGAGTGTGCATTAAATTTCGTTGCTTTATCTGTCTTCACGGCAGCGGCGCTGTCGTCGTGTACAGCTACAATGGCACCGAACAAGTGAGCTGACCAGAGAAAGACAAGGGTCACCATCTTTTTCTTTATTGGCTGCAGGTGTCGTACGAGGGTCACGATGACATGGTGTCTTGTCTTGCCTTCGCTCACGGCACCCATGACCCTGACAAGGCCTTGCTGGCCTCGGGGCAGGTCGGAGCCAATGCAGACGTCATCGTGTGGACTGTGGGCGCACCCGACAAGAGAGACGACCATCCGCCACTCAAATACAGATTCAGGTAGCGTGAGGGATCTGACGATGTGACTGGGGAGGAAGGAAGGCTTGGCACTTGTCAACAGAGAGATTCATGGACCGTCTGGCCACTACCGATGTATGTATGTATGTCAGTGAGCACGACGGCGGCATCCGTGATTTGTGTTGGAGTCACGATGACAAGGTGTTGATGACGCTGGGCGAGGATCAGCGGCTGTTCTTCTGGGACATGCAGACCGGTGGCATCGTGTGCTGGCTGCCGGCCCCCCCATGCACCGCAGTGGTTGCCTCGTGCGGCATTTCTGTCAGGGACGTCAAGGGCAGGGTGCTGCCGGCCATGTACCAGTTTGCCGTGTGCGGGGGCAGGACTGTCGACTTCATCTCTCTCAAAAAACCTACCGGCGCTGCAGAGAGGTTCGACGTCGCCGGCTCCCAGAAACGGGAATGGCTCTCTCTGGTACGTGGATGGGATGGCCCACTGTCTAACCCGGGTAGAACAGGGAGGGGGGAGCAGATAGCGAGAAAGAGAGACCCTGTATATCATTCACGCCTTGATGAATGCAATTAAGCTGCCAATGCAATGCATGGGCTCCACACCCACGACCGGAGGAGCTCCTCCCTCGGGGCAGCCCAACCTGTGTTGTTTGTCAAACATGTGTGTAGGCGTTTGATGCGTCGGGAGAGTTGCTGTTTGCGGGTTCGCAGTCGGGAGACATCCATGTCGTTCTGGTCAAGACACGAGCCCTACTCTACTCAGTGTCCGTCTGCTCCAGGGGTACGGATGTGCGTACTTACGGAGGGGACAGAGAAATGCTCACCCAAATCGGCTTCACTTCAAACATACTCACTCCGTGCGTCTGTCTGTTTCTCTGCCATACATGACATGCATCCATCAGGTGTCCGCAGTCTGGTGGCTATGCCCACTGACAAATTGCTGTGCGGGGGAGGAGACGGGTGAGTGGGGTCAGTGGGTGGATGGGCGGGTGGGTGGGGCAATGTCAGTCAATCATCGGGCCGGGCCGCAGACAGCGGCTGGTCGACTCGACTGGCAGCATATATATAACCAATTGCTCCCTCTCTCACTCAGTCACCTACCTACCGTTCGTCTGTGTGCATTCATTCGTTCATTGTTCGATGTTTTGATGTGATGTGTGTGTGTTGCAATGCATGTGCAGTTCGTTGACGATGCTGACGATAATGCCGGAGGACGTCCAGCTGAAGGAAGAGTCCCATATGATGGTCAGCGACACAGCGGCCGTCGTCCACATCGAGGGCAGGCAGGACCCAAGTCCCGGCCTCCAGGTGGTGCTGGTGGCATGCTCGGATGGCACCATATCCTCCCTATTACTGCCCGCATTCAGGCAGACAAGTAACTACCAGGCACACAGATGAAATGGACCACTTGGATGGCGTCGCGTCGTGTATTCACTTCTGCAGTCGTATCTCATGCTTTGGGTGAGAGCAACGGCCGTGCGTGTGGTGTGACGGGCATGTGCTTCGGCGCCGAACCCGACAAGGTGTGGACATCCGATGACGGCGGCCTCCTCACACTGTGGGAGCTGCCCACTTTTGAGAAGAAGATGATTATCCAGATGAGGGGGTCCGGCAAGAAGTCATCGTGCGCCACCCTCAAGGCCGTGCCCCCGTTGCACAGCGGCAGGTCTGGCGTGCTGGATAGCGACAGCAGCGACTTGTACCCCACGGCCATCGCTGCTGCCCCCAACTCGTGTGTGGTGGCCTCTGGCTATAACGAAGGAACCGTCCGCATGTTTGACTGCCGGCCTGAGACCGTCGGGAGAAGGGAGCTGTGGCACCTGGATCGCATCACCAACGGGGCCGTTGCCAGCATCGCTGTCGCCGCCAACAACAGATTCACGTGAGTCAGCCAGCCAAGGGGGCCAGCCAGGCCGGGCCGGGGGGCCGTGTGTGATGTGATTCGGTGGGTGGACATCTTTGTATGTTTGTTCATATGGGCGCGGTTGCAGGATGGCTGGTTCGTCTGACGGCACCATCAATGTCATCGAAACCAAAACTAGGACTGTCATCAGCACACTGCGAGAACAACCGTACGTAAGCCACACATTGAGTGGAGTTATGTAGAGAAGCAGCCAGCAAGCGATGACGAGAGACAAGAGCCGACAAGACAAGACAAGATGTGTGTGTCTCTCGTGTCTTGTCTGTGTTTGTCAGGAAGTTGCGGTGTGCGGTGCTGTTCAATGGTGACAGCTGCGTGGCGTGTGTGGGTGGTGCTTCGCTGCTGGTGTATGATCTCCGCAGCGAGAGGAGGGTCGCCTCACATCACATGCGAGACGGTCCGTGGGGGAGGGAGGGAGGGACGAGAGGGAGGGTCGACCACAGCACACCCCTGGATGGGATGGGTGTCTGACGTACTGGCTGATTGTGCCATCCATCCATCCATCCATCCATCGACGCAGGTAACTTCTGGTCGTGCTGTGCCAGGGACGGCCCCGAGAACCCCTTGATCGCAACCTCGTCGCAGGTCAATCAATATAGTAAACTAAACGCACCCAGTGGGCATGAATTGAATCTTGTCTGGCTGTTATCGATTTCTCGTCCGTCCATTCCTTCGTCTGTCGGTCCGTCCTGCAGGGGGGTAAGTTAGAGGTGTTTGACATGCGGGACGGCTTGCGTCCCTGCCGAGAGTTCCAGTCGGCGAGTGAGACATACGCGGTGGACGTCTCGCCGTCCCGGGATCTCCTGTGCGGGGCGGCGGGGAGGGGGGAGGTCAACCTATGGAGCATCGCCTCAGGCGCCCTGCTCGAGACCAAGACACATGATTGCGCTGCTGATGTGGCCGGGCTGCAATTCGCAGCCGACGGAAAACAAGCTGTCATGGCGGGCGGGGGGACCATAGCATGCTATAATGTCTTCGCTTCATAGACCCGTGTGTAACCATCTAGCATGCTATCAAAGCAGACACTCGCTGGAATCAAACAATGACTGCCAATCATGGCAGAGTCGCAATGAGACGGGGGGGCACCTGGGGGCGCGAGACGGAGAGGGGCACCCGCAAGCCCGCAGTGCAGCAAACCTGCTGAGGTTGAGGGGAGAATGATGTTTTCTGGAGGTTTGTCTTCGGGTGGGTCTCCTCGTGGTGTGTCTCGCGAGGACGACAGCACGCGTCGAGGTCTGGAGGAGAAGATGAGAGGCCTCATGGACGAACTCAAAGATATGCATAGGAAAAAGGAAGAGGTACTCACGCACCTGCATACCCACGGGCACGTTCCTCCGACGCCCGGCCCGGCAACCATCCACGCGCCGGATGCTCTCTGTCTCCCTCTCTGTCTGTCTGTCTGCCTGTCTTTGCAATGGGCCGCCAACGGCAGGCTGACAGGAATGCGCGCAACGTCCGTTCCGATTTGGACAGCTCCATCCAGAGATACAAGCGAGACATCCAACAGGGGGTAAACGGTGGGTGGAGACAAATCATGGTCTGTCTGTCTGTCCCTGTGTAGGGTGAGATTCAGAAGGCCGGTGCTTCGTTGGATCTCCAGATACATCAGGCCCTGCGCACCATGGACCAGCTGTACCAAGACTTCGACGCTGCATCGGTCAGAAAGCGAAATCTGTTCCGGTCGGCTGGCTGTGCACTGCATGCCTCGATTGATTGCAGAAGGAGAACGCAGACCTGCAGTCACAGCTGGCGGGCCTCAAGTTACAGGTACGTACACACACACACACACTCAACTGGCGTCTGTCAGGCCTGTCGATCTGTTTTTCTGTCTGCATGGACCGGATGTGTTGATTCAGTTGAGGCAGGAGGCCGTCTTGTGTGTCCATCGTCAAGGCAAGCAGCTGGAGGGCGAGGTGGCCAACACCACAAACATGGTCAAGAGGCTGGAGGAGGACAACGCACTCGCACGGGGGGAACTCAAGGCCCTGTTAATGGAATTGAATGAGTCCCAGCGGAAGAAGCGATCGTTGCCACAGGAGCTGGAGGCCAGTTCATCTTTTCTATCGGGCCGCTTCACCTCCCTCGGTTCGACCATAGCCGACACTCGGCATAAGATCAAGGACAGGCGACAGGAGGTGGACGCCACCAGGGGGCGCATAGCACAACTCAAAGACACCCTCCGGAGACACGCCAAGGACCACCGGCGGGAGATGCATCAGCAGGCTGCCCGGAGCAAGTGTCAGCAGAGACTGGAAGTCAGTGTGGCTCGCGAGGGTGAGCAGAACGCCAACCTGAGGGCGGCACTGGAGGCCTGCCGTGCTGACTTGGACAGGATCATGGCCGACGTCAACAAGGGCCTCGCGGCACCCGCAGCCACCTCTTCACCTCAGCATCAGCAGCAGCATGGCGGTGATCGGGCCAAGCGTATGGGCCCGATCACGGCGAGGCTGATGCCAGCCAGTTGGCAGCCGCCTCAGATTCCTCGGCCTCCCTACCACGGCGTCAGGCTGCTGCCCCGTCCTCCACCGCCACTGGGTCTGTCGCAGACGTCAGTTGTCATGCCCCACACACCAGCACCAGCACCAGCAGCAGCAGCAGCAGCGATGTCCTACTCGCAGAGCATGCCTTTTCTTCCCCCGCCCCCCGTGCCACTACACACTGCCATGCACCAGTAGTACCGAGAGACACCCATGGTAGGGCCGGCCGGCCTTATGCCCCGTTGATCGCATGGACAGCTTAGTGTGGTGCTTCATTGGTTCCTTAGAGGTGTGCGAGTGCAGTAGCTAGCCGTAGACTGACTGAATGACCATTTCATGGACCGACGGACGGATGCGGGCCGGTCGCGCGATCTATGCCGCTGGGCTGATGGATGGGTGGATGGATGGATGGGTTTTATCAGTGAATATATGGGTGTTTTGGCCGGGTATGGTGTGTTGGTTGATCCATTAATGAGTGAATGCATCAGGCAGGGCAGGCAACGAGCACATTCATTGATCCACATACCATACGCGCACATGCCAGGGTCCGTCACTCATTCATTCGCTAAGCATCCATCCATCCATCCATGAATGAATGAATGAACGAATCAACCCACCTCATCTCATCTCATCTCATATCATCCCCCCCTGTCCTTCCCAACCCAACATCACATACATGGGCATGGCATGTATGGTATGGTATGTATGTATGTATGGTGTGTATACATAGACAGACAGACAGGATATGATATATATGTACAAACCAGGCAGGGTGGGGGTGGTGTGGGATGCTCATCTCCTTTCTCACTCCTTCACTCACCCCCCACCCGAGCATATCATATGCAGCTAGGTAGGTAACCTATCCGTATCTATCTGTCCGCTGGCAGCACTGCACTGCACCCATGTGTGTCTGTGGGTGGGTGTGTACTGAACTGGTCTAGCAGAGTAGGAATGGCAGGTCCACCAGCTGTTCCCCCGTCCCGAAGTAGCATCCCCCGAAGAAGCGCGTGCACGGCTTGTGATACGCTACGTAACCTGACCAGGGAGGGAGGGAGAGAAAGAGGGACACACGGGCGGACAGATGAATGTGCGTCGGCTGGCTGGCCGGCTGACCTGGCCAGAGCAGGCTTCGGATGGTGACCGTTTCGCACGAGGGGTCCGCACGCAACGTCCAGCTACCTGCGCACCGCACACACAAATGCACATCACATGCACACAATAGCGTCCACATAGATAGATCTACACGTATGGATTGTTTCTGTGTGAGTGAGTCCGTCCATGCATTGTAGACCATACATACCGATGGGCAGGTCGTCCTCGACGCCCTCGAGGAAGTCCGAGTGGAACTGCACGTCATCGCGACTCAACGCTCGAAGTTTCGCAACTGAACACACCCACACACCCACACACACACTCGTGCAGATGAGATGGCTAAGTGGTAGTGAGAGTATGTGTGTTGTGTGGGTGCATTCATTCGTACATACCGTCGTGCGGGGGTCTGAAGTGCACCCATGACTCCAACTCCATCGCATCCTTGAACGACAAACCTGATTGATTCGATTGGTGCGGTGCACAGCACAGAAGGACACAGACAGAGGTGGATGGATGGACGGACGGACGGACGGACGGATAGATGGATACACACGCGGACACACACAACACAACACACCACACCTCTCGCACCCACAGACTGATTCATCCCCCTCTCTCTTCCACCCATCTACGTATCAGGACGTCACGCTTCCGGGTACGGTACCTTTGAATGCGAAGTTGCCGATGATTTTGTGTGAGTCCAGGACGGCATGGCTGCCCTTGGGGACGACAGCCGTGGCGTTGTCGATCTGTCGCACGACGTGGCTGAGGCGGTGCACCTCCCGCACCTTCATGGGGGGCGGCGGGGCGCCCTCCTCGCCCTCCCCGCCCCCCTCCGCTGCTACCTCTTCCTCCTCATCTGCATGGTGCACACACATACACACACATACACACACAACACACCGGGAGGGACAGATAGGCCGTGTGTGTGCGTATCATGTGTGTATGCATACCTCCAGGTTTTTTGCCCAGCAGTCGGTCCGGCGTGCCGAAGAAGGGCCCCCGCGCCTCAGCACTATCGATGAGCTTGGACACCTCACCATCCACACCAGGCAACTCGGCAAAGTCGAAACTCGGACCACTGCGTACACACAAGGACAGACAGACAGACAAACACGACACCCACACACATGCCGTCCCGAGCACCCACGACGGCATCAGCCATCACTGCGTTGGTTCTATCTATGTATCTGACCTCCAGTAGAATTTCTTGGTGGGAAAGGCGGCGAGTCCCTCCTGCAGGGCGGCAGCGATGTAGTAGTCGTTGCCAGCGGTGAGGATCTTGCCCCAGAAGTACAGCTGGCGAAGGTTTTGCTGCTGCTGCAGCTTGACCAGGGCCACCTTCAGACAGGCCTTCTCGTGCACATTGAGGACGATGCCCACTCCATGGCTCGCCAGCTGGTCAAGGCCGTACTCAAACTCTGCTAACTCCATCGTTACCAACACCGGGAATACTGCGACTCTGCGAAATGCTACTCTCTCTGAATGCTGTCCAGTCAGAGGAGGGAGGGGCGGCTTTTCGCAGCGGTTTCAGGGAGCACCCTAGCGGCTTTTGCTCGCGAAGCGTTTACCACACGTGCAATGGGGCTATGGCGTTCGTCAATCAAGTGTAAGGTTGAGAGTCTTTCGTGCCAGGGACAACACATCGTTTTCTACACTAGACAACTCACGATTGGTCCAAATAACAACATGAGGCAATGAGTGCAGCTCCTAACAAGGGCGAGATGCAGCATGGGATGCCGTTTATACCGGATACAATAGTCGTGTTTATTGTGTGCTGTGGTGTGCTGTGGTGTCTGCCCCCACCTTTAGCTTGGCTAGTCTCTCCTCATTGCTCATCTGAGAACTCAGCCTGACCGACCAACCAATACACATACATCACATCACATACATACACACCCCACTGCCCGCCCACCCACATCCCCTCCATTCATTCATTCGATGGATGTTGCGGACGGACCTTTTGGTGGCGGCATCTTCGTCCAGTTTGTTCCTCTTCATGATCCTCTCTTTGGCGATGGCCTCATCCACCATTGTCACCCACACCTCGTCCACCAACTCGTCCCTGCACCACCACAATACATTACAATACAACACAACACAACACAACACAATACACCACGCTCCGATTGATGACGTACGTACCGATGGCCTTCTCTTCTCTCTCTCGGAACCCGTTGGTGCGTTCGTGAGTGCACCTCACGTCACGTCACGTACGTACCATGATGCTTCCAGCAGCACCGCAGCCTCAAGGATGATCAGCTGGCCTTGATCGCTCTGCAGCGGGGAGGCCTTGAGCTCGTCGATACGTTGTCGCGCTTTCTGCTTGATGATCGGCCACACGATGTCTGAAGTACAACGTGACATACAAACACTCATTTGCAAACGGCCTGGCTGTCATGTCATCAGTACTTCACACATACATACCTGTGAGTGTTTTCATTTTGGCCTCACTGCCGAACACCAAGGCGCCCAGCGCCCGCCTGTTGATGCCGCCGTCCTCTGCACGCACCTCGGAACCAAAGGCAGCAGCAATTTCATCGACGGCAGCCTCCCCTGACAGACAGACAGACAGACAGTCCATCACAGGCAGCATTTCGCGCTGCATGGCTGAATGAGCAGTTCATTGTGCAGGGACGCACCAGGGGCGTACGCCGCATGGCCCAGCTGATCTGAAACCAACGCCAGCCGCAGAACCAAAACTCGCTCGTCTGCATGAGAGCATCCATGGTGTGCTGTCTTTGCAGCTGACCAGCATTGATGACGTCCACTCGAAAGGGCTGGCCCTCGAGGGCGGAACACACTGTGGTCTTGCCAGATCTGCCACACAGGAACACGATTCCACTCATGTGCCAGATTTCCAGTGTTCTCTTTGTTGTCTCTCTTTCCTCGCTCACCCGATGCCTCCCCACAGACCAATCACCTTCCTCGTGCCCATTTGCAGCAGCGGTTTCAGGGAGCACCATTTGCTTTGCGCGAGCTAGACATGTGTTGCGATCGCGTTCTGCCGCTCTTCAATCTTCCTCCATCTCTTTGTCTGCAGAGGATGCCAGTGGTCGACATCGGTGGATATGCGGTGGATTTTCCCTTCGAGCCCTACGACTGCCAGAAGATCTACATGGCACACGTCATCAGAGCGCTCAGCACCGGCCAACACGCACTGCTCGAGTCGCCCACAGGTACACACCACACCAGACGGCATCCCAGCCACCAGCCCCAGCCGCTGGTGTCATTTGCACTGCAGGCACCGGCAAGACTCTCTGTCTGCTGTGCGCCACACTGGCCTACCGGGCGAGGCTTCTAAAGGACGGCCCCGCGCAGCCTGGTGGTACGCAAGTGGCCATTTGTCATTGTGTTTGGACGCACAGATTCTTCTTTCGGTTATGGCGCCGTTCCACTCATGTGTCGTGCTGTCAGGCGTGCCGCGCGTCATCTACTCGAGCAGGTAAGGTGTGTCCATCCATCCATCCATCCATTCATCCATCCATCAGTCACTCATTCCCCTTCGTCCCTGCCTGCCTTGCTGGCTGGCTGCCTTTGTGCAGGACTCACAGTCAGCTGCGGCATGTCATTCGGGAGTTGAAGAGAACCAACTATGTATGTCGTACAGGCATGATATATGGCGGCGGGGCACACACTCAGACAGGGGACGTGGCATAATGTGTTATATGTTATATGGTTGGGTTGGTTGCAGGTCACAGGCCCCGGCCCCGTCACCAAGGTGTGCATCCTCGCATCCAGAGACCACCTCTGGTGGGCAGCGGGCAAATGCATTGCTGTACCTTATCTTTCCCATCCGTGGGTCTTTCTGCACTGCACACCACACGCAGCGTCAATGCCAGGATCAACCGCCGTCGCGGACAGGAGCTCAATGCCGCATGCCAAAACATGCTCGCCAAACAGGTTGGTGCACCAACGAAGGAAGCACACGAACAAGCGGATGTTGCAGCGTCACTCGCGAGGTGAGGGCTGCTGGGGTCTGTGTGTCACATATATCAGTTGTGTCACTACCATGGGGGTCTGAGTGTGCTGGGCAAGTCGGTGTTTGACGTGCCGCGGGACATTGAGGACTGGGTCAGCTTCTCCAACGACCCACAACCCGAAGTGGTCAGCAAGAAACCCTACCAATCACACCTCCCACAGATAGATGTGTACGTACGTATCTGCTGTCCATCCACCTATGCACCCATGTGTCAGGACAAGCCCTTCTGTCCGTTCTTCGCCACGAGGGAGAACCAGGTGACTGCCCAAGGGGATGGTCGATGGGGATACATACCTGGCCCGCCCTGCCACCAGGTGGAGTGTGTGTGTGTGTGTGTGTGCAGAAGATCTGTGACCTCGTCTTCTGTCCCTACAACTACATACTCAACCCCGAGGCGCGGTAAGTGAATATGTGATCCGTCATGTGCTGTCCACAGCGTGTGTGTGCGCGTTTATTCCGTGCCGTCCATGGATCAGCAAGACGTTGAAGCTGGACCTCACCAACGCCATCGTCATACTTGACGAGGGACACAACGTAGAAAAGTGCGCCAACTGACCGCACGACACAACACACCCGCATAGCATACAGACAGAGACATCATCTCATCGTTGCCTGCTTGCTTGCTTCTTGTCCGTCCGTCCGTCCGTATGATGTGCGATAGGGTGTGTGAGGAGGCGGCGTCGTTCGACCTGCGGGGTGCGGATCTGTGTGGGGCCGTCAAAGACATCGACGCCGCCATGCCACTCCTGGCCAAAAAGGGTACACACGGACGGACGGATGCAGTCACACAGCACCCACACAGGATTTGCTGTCGATGGATGGATGGATCAGTCCCTGCGAGTGTGTCAGAGCCGGACCCTCCCTCCGAGCGGCCCAAGGGCAAGGGTTCTGGCGACAAGCCGGGTAGAGACGATGACAGGGTGCGAAAGGTAGAGGGGATGGTGCAGCTGCTGATGGAGGCCAGAGGGGCCCTCCTAGCCGTCGAACGAAAACTACTGAACGTACGTACGGACGGACAGCAAGGAGCACACTGATTGCAGAGTTGCCATGGAGGAGTGGAACAGATAAAATGTATGATGTTTGTGGTGGATTGGATTGCAGGTAGAGTTGAAGGATGGTGATGACATCTGCCCAGCCAGACACATGCTCTCCGACGGCAATGGCACGCGGGCCATATTCAATGTCAGTCGACAAGACAGAATACATACCGGCACGAAATGATCGATGCCGGTCGACCGGTGTGTGCATGCAATGCAGGACGGCGGGCTGGATAGGGTCGACGTAGGTGAGCTCCGCAAGGCGTCGGACGCCGTGCTCGAGGTCCTCTCAGACACCTCTAGTAGCGGAGCCAGCGAGAGCAGCAGCACCACCACACAGAAGGGCATACATCTAGACAAATGCACCAAAGCCATACAGGTCTGTCTGTCAAGATAAATAAAAGAGGAGGGAGCCAACTCACGGCACGTGTCTGTGTCTCTGTTCCTGTTTGTATGTGTGTTCGTATCCGTGTCTGCAGCTCGTCTATTCGGACCATGTCAGCGGCAATGTGCAGTCCTTCAGGACGCTCGTCCGCGAAAACACCAATGGCATACTCGGCGCATCCAACACCAGAGAGAGGTTAGCACGAAACACACACACACAGACACACACCGACAGCCGCCAGAAAGCCAGATAGAGAAGTGCATGTGTGTTTGCTATGGCTGGCTGTGTCAGGTGTTTGAGTTTTTGGTGCTGCAGTGCGGCTGTGGCGATGGGCGACATGATGGGCCAAGGCGTCAGGAACCTCATCATCACTTCGGTCGGTCTGTCGGGAGGCACACGCACAGACAAACATGATCAAAGAATGCGATGCGACACATCCCTCCCTGCATTCCACCAACCAGGGCACGTTGTCGCCGCTCGACGCTCTCGCCGCCCAGCTGGGGCCCAAACCAAACGACGTCAAGTAGACTTACTCGCACACACGTGACATGACATACGCGTGAGACAGACGCCTGTTCTGTTCTGTTGGTGGGTGTGGTGTGAGTGTGTAGGTTCGGTGTTCGTCTGGAGAATGCCCATGTGGTGGGTGCGAGTCAGCTCACGTGCGGCATACTCAAGAGGGGCCCCATCGGACCAAACCTCAACTTCAACAAAGATGTACACCCCACACAACACACCAGGATCTACACACGCGCCACCATCTGCGCATGTCGATCTGTGCGTGCGGTGTATCCGTGTGTGTGTGTGTGTGTGTGCAGCATCGTGACAACAGCGAGATGTTGCAGGGGTTCGGTCGTGGGGTGGTGCAGGTGTGCCGTAAGGTGCCCGACGGAGTGCTGCTCGTCTTCCCCTCATACGCACTCATGGACAACGTCATCAACAAGTACATACATGCAGACACAGAGAGACACACACGGTGCACATGCCATAGGCTGTTGGTTGGGGTTTGTTGCATTTGGTCTGTTTAGGTGGGAGAGTGGCGGCATCATGGCACAGATCAGAGCCCACAAGGAAGTCTTCATCGAGCCACACAAACAGTACACACACACACCATGAGACCACAGCCATCGGGTAAGGTGATGTGTCTTCCTCCTCTGCGTCGATGAATGTAGGCGTGGAGACCCCTCATCAGCGTCCGGCACTCAGCGCAACAAGAGGCCGACGCCCGCAGACGACTTTGGCATCGATCAGGACATGTTCACAGGGAGGAGCGGCCCCACCAATGTGGAGACCGTCATGAGCAGCTACGCCCGCAGCTGCCAGGAGAGCCTGCTGGCCAGCAGACACCACCAACAGCAGCAGCAGGGTGGCATGAATGGGGCCATACTCTTCGCTGTGTGCCGGGGCAAAATCAGCGAGGGTCGGCGAAGAAACATTGCTGTTCTACGAATATATATTGCTGTGGTGTGTGTTCCTCTGTAGGTATCGATTTAAACGACCATTTGTGTCGTGCCGTCATCCTCTGCGGCATTCCATACCCCACACCCGACGAACGGTACACATCACACGCATCAACACGTGTGTAATTCAATTGCATGTCTGTCTCCCCCCCTGTCCCTTCTGTTGTTTGTGTGTGCAGCGTCAAGTTGAAGCGTCAGTACCTCAACCGAGACCGCAGGAATCCCGACGCCAATGAGGGGCCCGGCCGCACCTGGTACGAGCAACAAGCATGCAGGGCCATCAACCAGGTACATACTTTACACAGGCAGATGCAAGCAGAGACAAAGCAAGCAGCTGACCTGACGCCACATTCTGTCACACATGCCATGCATGTGGATGTGGTTGGATTGGTCGTAAGGCTATCGGTCGTGTTATTCGGCACCAGAAGGATTTCGGTATCATTCTTCTCTGCGATGAGAGGTAGGTAGGGAGACACACACGCCACTTCGACCGCTGGTGGTGTGGTGTGTCTCGCAGATTCGGCCATGGCGGCGTTCAGTCGCAGCTGTCCCAGTGGCTCCGACCGCACGTCAAGACTTTTGAGTCAGTCAGCACAATTACATCCATGTCTGCGCCATGGGTGTTCATGCCATTCTATGCGTCGGGGTGTGTGTGGATGTGTCTGCAGCACGTTTGGTCCGGCCATCAGCTCGCTGGCCAAGTTCTTCCAGGACATACCGCCGGCACTCACAGATGCATGCTACAACAAAGTCGCTGCAGCGGTGAGCACCAGCAGACAGACCACCAACACCACACAGACAGACAGGGGAACCGCATGCCATCCATTCTGGATGCAGCAAGGCGGCGGTGGTGCGCGGCACGTTGCTGTGGCTGGTGGCCGGGGCGTGGGCCATTCTGCCTCCTCAAGTGGGGCGTTTCAGTTCAACAAGTCCAGCAATGCATCAGCAGCATCAGCACGCCATCAGCAGCAGGCGAGGCCTGTGGCACGCCATGACTCCCAGGGAGGAGCGAGTCAGGGGCGGTCTGCATTCGACGAGAGGTACCGTGTGCAGAGTGGGTGGCGGGGCAAGGCCACACAGCCAGAGCCGGAACCAGTATCGCAACCCTCACTGCTGCGACTCCTCTCAAAGAAGTGATAACTGACATACCCATCCATGCAGACAGACAGACAGACAGAAATGCGGACTGGAGGCGGGTATGTGTGTACGTCACATCCATCTGTGTGTCTGGTGGGTCCGCTGTCATGTGTTGATTGACCGATATGTATGTACTGTCTCTGAATCAATGAACGAATGGTGTTTGCGAGTCTGCTTCTTCGCCTGACTCACGCGCAATGCACGTCGTGTCTCCATCCCAACACCACACAAAATACCAACAACAGACATCCATCCGTACCTCAGCCAGCCAGCCAGCCAGCCAACCGCTTTCTCTCAAGTGCTCTGTCTTCCTGCAAATCAAAAAAGGTGGGCAGCAGCAGCAGGGTGGGTGGTTCTCCTGAGCAGAAAGGTTGCCCCCCAAAGATGGGTGGGTGGGTCCCGCCCGTGAGTGTGGTGTGTGATGGCGTCTCTCTGTCTGCCGCAGACCAAAGCAAGCATAGTCCAGCCAATCCCTCCATCACTCCATCCATCTTTTTGGTGCATTCATTCATTCATGCGCTAGACAGACCCTAACTCCCTCCCATTCAGACAGACAGGCGACCGTATGCACCGCTCCCCTGTGTATATGTGTATGCAGTAGCATCAGCTATCAGTCCAGTCAGGTCATGTATATACATGTGGCTGTGCGTATGCTTGTATGTTTGTCGTCCCAGCTCAGCATCCGCAGTAGTAGGACAGGGGCGGGCTGTCCGCCGACAACTGCTTTAGCAAACCTCGGTTCTTGCTCTGCACACCACACACGACAGGACAGCCAACCAGGCACACACATAGATACACACATATAACAACAAGGCTGGTATGGTATGCCCTGTCTGTCTCTCTGTCTGTCTGTGTTTGAGTTGAGTCGGTGTGTACATTACATTAACTTACTTCGAAGTCCCTCATCCAGAAGGTGTTGAGGAGTGTCTTTTGGATGAATGGGATGCGCTTCTCGATGGCGCTGTACTGCGAGCCATCCGCCCACTTGCCGGCCGCACTCATGATGGGCGGCAGATCCACACCAGCTCCCAAACACTGCATAAACGTCGATTGCGTGTGTGTGTGTGTGTGTGTTGTTGTTGTGAGGTACTCCTTCGCTGCTGAAGGTCTGTGTGATGATTTGGTCTCCGTCTTGTTTGCTGAGGAATCGTCTGATGAGAGGCGTGAGCTCCTGCTCCTCCTCCATGCAGTTGACCTTGAGCATACTCGCCACCTCGTTGACCATCGTCACCAACTTGCCTAGATAGACAGACAGAGAAGACGATCCAGACAGAGAGACAGACATACACAGGCCAGGCACATATATATATATATATATGTGTATATATATATTACACATATATATATATGTGTGTGTGTGCGTGGGATGCATTAATGCATTGATTGCATGCCTAGCGTACCGACAAGGACGTGTTTGCCCTGTCTATGGGTGTCGGACTCCAACTTGTACTGCTCCTCGACGTCAATAATCTGATCCAACCAACACAACCAACAGTGTCTCTTGCCTTGTCTCTCCATTCCCCCCTCCCTCCCTCCCTCCCTCCCTCCCTGTCTGTCTGTCTGTCTGTCTGTCTGCCCTTTTTGTTCTCACCGACCTCGTCCACTTTCTTGCTGATCGCGGTGTGGTCGTTTTTGATTTTCTCTGTGATCTGGACCGACTGCTGCAGTTTGGCGAAGAGGAAATCCTCTTCGGCCTCGAGGTGGCTCTTGACGAAGGGTCCGAAGTACACGCGGAACCACTTGCAGAAGGTGAGGACCTTCCAGTCGGTGCCGTTGGAGACGTACGGCAGCACCTTCTCCATCTCTTTGATCTCAACACGGAGGGCCTCGTGGCCCAACAGCATCAACACATCTGAATCAACACACACACACACATACACCGCCGATGGATAAGCACGTTCTCGCAGCATTGTCCAATGCCTTTGAGCGCGTGGGTATCTATCGTACCAGACCAGTCCTCAGCGTTTCTGATGACTTGGCTGGTGATGTTGGGGTTGGGCTGCTTGCCGGCCTTGGCAAGACCTGACGACACAACCACACATGGGGCGACACAGGGCGGGGCGTCTCAATTAAGCTGCCGTGTCAAGGGGGTGGAGCTTTGGCTTCCTCCCCACCCATCTGGGCCATGGCTTGTTGACCCATCTCCTGCATATTCTTCCTGCACACCACACAGGGCAGACAGACAGACAGGAACACAGAAGATAGATATGAGCGAACCCCTCTCGAAAAGCCCCCCCGCATCAATATTTGTCGGCTCACATCACTCCCTGGGGAGTCAGGGTGGCGAGCGTGTCGCTCATGGACGCCATGGGTGTTGGGGCGGGGCTAATCTGAGATATCTCGGCTGTACAAACTTCACTTACAGACCAATCTGGCAGGGGAACGTTGAGGGTGCGTTGAGGAGGGGGAGGGAGGGGGGAGCTGAAGTTGGGGGCAAATGGGGCCGTAGATAGGGCGAGCGCGAAACGGAACATTGACAAGGCGCCGCCTTTCCCGAGAGGAAGGCTATCCCTGCTGGCCGTTGTGACAGCCGTGAGCCCTCCCCTTCATATAACGTCAACGGTTGGTGGTTTCACGGCCGGGCTATCAACCGTACGGCTTACTCAAAGCCAAATACGTGTTATCAAAGCCTATCAAAGCCAGTCACGCACCAGCATGCAGCAGCGGGATGAGGAAAGCAACCCTGGGTGTATGTATGTATGTTTGTATGTACGTATGTGTGACTCTACGCAGGAGGGAATGAGCGGAAAACGAGGGCGAATGCCGGCTCATACGCAGCAACCAACAACAATGTGCTATGATGACAGACAGACAGACAGACAACAGGCAGCTAGGTAGGTAGATCAATTAATACCCATGCAGACAGACAGCTAGAGGCTCACAACAAAAACGGCTGACCGACACGATCGAGTACACCCACCCATTCATTATGAAGAGCAGATGGAAAAAGGCATGGCTGACGCGACGTACGTATGTATGATGTCTCCGCCTGTCTATCGTCCTGGCTGTCCTGTCCTACGTCAACCAATCGCACCACCAGTCATTGTTATCTACCCCCCACCCTCTATCTGCCACACTGCCCCCCTCTCTGCTTGCGAGCGCCTCTACCACAGATAAACAAGTGGAAGGGCAGACAGCCCGCTTGCCGCCCGCTTGTTTGCCTCCATCCCTTGGTGGCGCTCACGCGCACGGCCCGCCGCACAATCGACTGCCGCTGCCGCACACTGGCGTACCAGCTCGACACCTTCTCGCCTTTCTTAACCATAGAGACGCTCGGCTGTTCCCTCTTGGCCTGGTAGACAGGGATGGGAGGGCCATGGCTGTAGGGGTGGGTGATGGGGAGGAAGAACGGGGAGGCGGAGGGCTGCCGGACCCCTGGCTGACACAAGTGGATGGGTGAGAGGGCAGCGAGGTTGTTTGGGTGGCTACTGTCTACGGGGGTCGCACAAATCGGCGTGCACACGCTGATGTGTGAGGGGGTGTTGGCTGGGGTGGTCTTGGGGGTGGGGATGAACGTGTCACCCAGGGGAATGCACATGGCCCCTGCAGACGCACACGCACCGCCGCGAGAAGTAGACATCGCACTACCTGCCGCACAACAGCCGAGGCAAAGAGAACAAAGGGATGCATCAGAGCACTCATCGGTCCTTCCTGGTGCAGTAGGCCGTGCTTGCCTGTGGTCTGCTCGCTTCTCGGCGTCAGGTTTGCTGCTGTGGGTGTTCGGTTGTGCGGGGTGGCCACGTCGGTTTTGGATCGGTGGAGCAGCTGCTCCAGCACAGCGTCCATTCGGTCCTGATCCACACGGGGCATCACGCTGTCTACGGGACCTATCAGCAATCCACACGCACACACACACATGGACAACCATAGAATGAATCTCTGTGTTAGTTGATGCATTGCATACCTGTGGGCGGCTCCTGTCCGAGGTCTTGCGCGTCAGCATCGACAGTAATCGGCGGCATGTCGATGGCCATGTCGAGGCGAGTGCGAGCGATACGTAGTAATGAGGTGGGTGTGATGGCTCTGAGGGGCGGGGTGGTCTCCGTGTGTGCGTCGGAGTCATCTGGGAGGGCTGTACGTGGGGTGAGGGAGTAGGAGGCCGCTACGGTGGGGGTGAGGGAGTACTCGCTGTACGTGTACTCGCTGTATGTGTACGTCCACGTGTACTCACTGTCCGAACACATAGAGCTCTCACCCTCCTCGTATATCGTCTGTATGGTATGTAGACCGCACACACACACACACACACAACACAGTATATGGAAACAAAACCCCTCTCTGCCCCTTGGGCGTCGGTATGCTTGCTTTGAGTGTGCCTGCTCTTGTGCTGACCTTGAGAGGGTTGCAGTTGGACGCGGGGAACCATTCGTAGAGGTCCTCGTCGACAGCCTCGTCTTCCGCCACCGCATGCTGCTCCCCCCCATCCTCCCCGTATACACCACTATGCATCATGCATCAACCGCATCCCACGAACAGAACAGGCGCTTCTCAGCTCCCCCGTACAGCCATCATGTAAATCCTCACCCCGGTTTCACAGCGGGCCCTAAACTACAATAGTTTTTTCTGCACGTTTTGAAGATTTTCTCCAGCCGAAAGGGCGCGCAACACCGCAGGGAAGAGCCTCACGCGAAAAAAAACAAACGAATGTGCCAAAGACGAGAAGACTGGCGTTTCGACCCTCACTCGATCGGATCCAAGGTCGCTTCCTTGCCGCCTTTTCTGGCCCGAGAGGACCACCTCAGTGCGTCTCACGCACTGCTACGGGGCTTTCTGACGATAAGAAAGGCATAGTATTGGTGTGGAGTAGCGGGAGATCTCTCCCTTATCTCTCATCTGATGTAGCAGTGCGTCCTTCAGGCCGAAGGATCAGCGCCAAGGACATTATGGCGAGGCAGAGGAGCCACCTCCTCACTCCAACAGCCTTCATCACTCGCCCCCTCCCCCGCCCGACATCAACCACAGCAAACAAACACTTACACAGCTTCTTCCTGACCCACAGACAGCCAGTACAGCGACTTCCCTGCACTCTTCGTCTTGTTGCCGCCCCGCTTGGCTGCCATCCGCCAGCCCTCAGCTGTCACTATGACCGTCTTTGCCTTGTGTGCTTCGGCCTTGCTGCTGCTGGCATGCGTGCCTCCAACTGCCGCCCAGAGCGGTTACGGCGGTTACGGCTACACTCACGGTGTGTGCGAGAAGAAGGCTGATGTGCACTACAAGTGCCCTTACGGGTTTGAGTTCGACTTCGACTCACACAAGTGCGTCAAATACGACTACCAGGACATAAAGTACTACTGCCCTGAGGTACGCAGACGCAAGCAGAACCCAACACTTGATTGCTTGATTTGTTCCCTTGATTGGCTGTGGGTGCAGGGCACCAAGAAGACCGCCGAGGGCTGCGTCAAGTACGTCTATGAGGAGAAAACACCCTACTGCAAACACGGCAAGCTCGACGGCCACAAGTGCTTCGATTACGAGTACTACCCCGTCGAGTACCAATGCCCTTACGGCTACGGCTTCACAGCCGACAAGGCCAAGTGCTACG